AGTTTCTTTTATTTTATTTTATAAAGTAAAGACCTCTAAAGTAATGTCATTCACTTCGGCATCCTTGATTTCTTCGTCTTTCTATCATTCACTTTGCCTTCCTTGGTTTTCTCGTTTTTCTTTCTTCCTCAATTTTACATTTTATCTTTTATCTTTGTTTATTTAGATTCTTGGGACTTTCTGGATCTTTCTTCATGATAGAGAAAATCAATTTACCTCCAACTGCACCGGAGACTACTTTCGCTTCATCAGCATGTATCTCACAACACACACAGTTTAACAATAGCTACAAACACATATAGATATCGTTATAACCACTGTTTTTATTTTTAAAAGATTCTCGTTAGCGTAATACGTTAAAATTACGTGCTTCTTTTTCGTACCTCGGGCGCATTGTACATTTTGCTCGTTGAAAAAAGTATCATGATCATTAAAAACAGAGCCATGAGTGCAATCAGGTTGGAGATATTCATCATTGTAGGCATTGCAATCTCTATTCTTGCTGTTATCCATCATAAATTCAATGACAAGCACCTTGATGCTTATTGTTGTTAATATCTGAATATGCAATATCGTTTCAGAACTTTTGTCCAAGGTAAGCGGCGAGGAATAAAATGATGAACGCACAGAGAGACTAAACTTAGGACGAGTCTGTCCGAAGAGGCAACGGTGAAGAGAGGCATATGTCGCCGTGAAGAGCTACCTAATGAAATAATATTACTGAAGTATATTAATGAAATAATACCTAATAAAGTAATATTCAACAAAGAAAATAAAAAAAATGTAATATTGAACATCCCGGAATATGAATCTTCGAAAATGAAAAAGGATCCAAGAATATGAACACCTCGATCCAAGAATCGCGAATGTCCCACTTCGTTGAACATTATTGACTATCGTTTCTCTCGTAAAAAATACTGGAGATTTCACGGACAATGAACGGCGTCCAAAATCAATTCACAGATCATGCCCGATTTCGAATACGTGAATATCTAACCGAGTCGAATAGGACCTTTCTGCGAAAGGGATTTCTGCATCTCTGCATTTCGTGCACTGTGTGCGTAACGAGTGGCTAATTATTTCACAAAGGCGAGTCGCGAGTAAATAATCGCCACGCGGCAACAATCAACAATCATTAATTAATGGCGTCCCTGCGCGAGTGCATTCCTGCATTTATTTATCTGTTATCAATTCTCTGGCTTTTCGAAGAAATTTCAAAATACAAAAAAAACATACCTTCAGTTGTAATCTACAATTGTTGACGATGTTGAATGAGAAGTGTAAAATTTGGAAACAAGAACAATCGAGGAATAATTATCCGAGTGTATATTTGACTGCGGTTTGCAGTGCAGAAAAATCAATGAAGAAAGAACGTTATTCCGAGAAAAAGGGAATTTTGAACTAAATCGTATCTTTTTCCCTTGATTGAGACCAGAGAATTGTCTCTTTTTTTTTCTTCTTTCTCTCTATCACCGTCTTTTCCTATTTCTTTCTCGATAGTTACATGATATACGGTGGTATGTGCAGAGTAATCTGGAGGCTCGCAAAATTGCTACACGCTGCTAATAAAATGGATCACATGCCCTAACAGCGTGCGCCAATTATTTTGTTCGATAATTAATCGGGCATGTTGATTAGTAAACGTCCTCCGGTGCCGCAAAGGGCTGCTTCGGAATACAACAATATGTTATATCCTTACTTCCTTATAACGTAGGACAATTCGCCCTTCAACCAGTATCCTCTGAATTCACTGAATTTTCACCAAATTCTTCAAATCATTGCAATTCGCAGATTCTGAGGACATCGTTTGTTTGAGATTCGAAGGTGCCAGGATTCTAATTTTTTCCATTCCTCGTTCTTACAATGTTCTTTCAATTCAAGAACCGATTTATCGAGTTAACTCCAGTTCTGAGAACATTTAAATAATTATTTTAAAAAATCGAAAGAAAATTTCCAGATTTCGAAGTCTCCGAACTTCATGCAATGATGAAACTCTGAAGAATGTATCTCGTGGTAAGCGAGACAAATTACTGGCTGAAGAATGAAGTATCAGCAAGAAGTAGCATAATTGTTATGTAGTTCTTTATGAAGAGCAGCGGCGCGATAATTTGGACCGTCACACTTGTCAACTAAAATAGCAGGTACAACTGAGAGTTAGGTCGGTTTCAATGGCGGCCAGCCTGCGCGCACGGTGCGCAGAGACAAGACCACTCAGTGGCCAATTGCATAAACATCAAACAACAATGTATCATATAATCATTCGTTGGTTCAACAACAAATCACTTTCGATATATATATAAAAATAAGGTATCAAACTTTGCGTCAAAGTACACAGCCATCGTGTCTACGTTCTTAATTTACGTTGTCCCCTAAAAGCCATCTGTGTGTGCGTCTTTCCAAAGATCTGGCGTTCAAACTCCGCTACCTGTTCCCCTTGGATCTGAGACTCTAGCACATTGACTGCCGAGAGAGAGAAAAAAGAGAGGACACAAAATAGTTGGGAGTCTTATCACTCTTACAAGTAAATTTAGAGACTTATTGCACACATTGTAATTATATTACAAGTTATATTATATTTCTTTACTAACATAGTGCCCTGACGATTATTTTCTCCAGAGAAATATGTCAATTGTATACGATCTGGCAGTCAGTGTGTTAAGAAATCCATAAAAGTTTCACGTCCAAAGAGAGATTAGGATTCGAAAACTTAAAAAGTTTGACGGATCTGCAGAGTACAATCATGTTAACTTGGAGACTTTTTGCAACTGTAGGATTCCGGAAACCAGAATTCTAAATTTTTGCAATCTAGAATTTAGAAATGTTACGGATTTTAAAATGCAAAACAGAATTTTTGAGATTAAAAGTGTTGAGTTTCTAAGAATTCAGTGATTCCGCCGACTCGAGAACTCTCAGAATCCAGAGACTTGGGAGCTCATTTGAACCTTTGCAAGATCATTGGGGCACAAGATACTTACTTTTTAATGCTACGATTAGTTGTATCGGAGTGCCCAAAATTAGTTTAGTTCCGTCAGCGAAGCTGTTTCAGACTATTAGACAATCTCTGCCGTTCCAGTCTATCTCTCTCTCTTTTTTTTTCTTTCTAGAATCTCGCTTCTTTAACTTTCCGCTTGCGGAACAGAGGGCATGACAACTTTGTTCATTATGCCGGAGCACATAAAAAACGGCTTAATTTTTATGCAAAAGGCCTTACAAATTTTTCCATAGAGTATATCGCGCGTTTTATTTGCTGGGTTTTCTTCTGGGTATGTGTAATCACGCGAACTATATAAATAAATTATAAATTATTACACCTGATATATAGTCTTAACCCACCCCCTTCTATATGTTTCGTGCATTTCGGAAAAAGCATTTATAATATAGTTATCATAGTACTCGCACAAGAGGATTAATATTTATTCTCAATTACGGATGCGTTTCCGCCAAGGAACACAAGTCGAAAGCAAAAATCGACTTCCAAGACAGCTTCATAATCCGATGTCATATTCAAGATTGCCATTAAATACAGTTTAAAAGCTATACAAATTCATAATTGCAAATTAAGACGAGATTGTTTTTGTCATGTAAGAATTATAAATCTATACAATATATTGAACCTGTATTAGAAAATTTTGAATATAATCTTGAGTCTAAATAAAAAATCCCAGAAGTCGATTTGTTCCTTGCTAGAAGGCAACCTGTACCATTATAGGGATTCGTGGACCATCGACTTGACGATCAACATCTAGAATTGATATTATATTGTGTACGCTAACGTGCTAAACACTATATCAGAAATTCGAAAACTGGAACGTGCCTATCTTCATTAGCCTGCAGTTTTGGTTCTTTTTGCTAATTTAACAATTTGGGTTCAATTAACTTCATTAAACTTTTTAGAAAAGAAATAAAAATATATAAGATATATATTAAGGTAACGTAAATATATATATATATATTCTTTATAGAGGATTTTTGCGTAAGAATATGTTACGTGAGAGATTTTTTACACAGCTTGGTATATATTTATAAGATAGTAATTTTAATAAATATTAATTTAACATAAAATAATTTAACATTTATAATTTATATATAACTTTCGTATTTTAATATTTATAATTTAATACGCGAAAATATAGCAGTTCCCGGAAAATAGTTGTTAAATAATGTTCCTATCAAAAAATTTCTTTACGATAAGTAAAAGTGACTGTCGGGCTGTTAATAAGTATATTGAATATCGTAATAATTATATAAAAAATGTCTTATTATTTGAACATTTGCAAAATATGTAAAAAATAAATATGTAAAAACATATATATTTTTACATATTTATTTTTTATTAACAACTTTTTCTGAAAACTTTCAACGCGCTTAATGTATTTAATGTATTTTGCATTGAATATATCTGGCACTTTGTGACCGTAACCGTCATTTCTATATACGATTGAAACATATCATAAAACATACAGCGTGTTTTGACAAAAAACTCCACGCATTTGTATGTGAATAAATTATTGTACATGAATAAATTATTGTAAACTTAAAAAAAAAAAATTATAACCATAAAGATTATAATATGCAAGACAGCCAACAAGCAATTTTAGTTGGACTGGAACTCGTTACAATAATTTAACTAAACCCAAATTGTTAAAGCATTCGTTTTCTTTAAACCATAACGGCGATTAACATAAACCAAATATTTTTTTCTAAAGTGACCCTTCCATAATGATACCGTCGAACATTTCAAAATAAACATTGAAGGAACGTCGAATCGGCACAATTCCAGTAAAGAATGAAAGATAGAAACATAAGCACAGGTGTTTCACATTAAAAATACATAATAGACTGCCGATTTTTTATAAATTTTAGTATTGATAGAAAAGTGAAAATCAAGACTTACAATTTTAAATGCAAAACAAATTTCAACTCTAACTTAACCTAATTAAATTTTTTTAAAGAATATAAATGACTAAAAAAATATGATCAATATTAGCAATGAAATTTAAATTAAATAGGCAAACAATAACAATACATTTTTACTATTGTTTCATCAATCATTTTTAATATTATTTTATGTCAATCAAAGCTCAAAGTGTGACTGAAACGTCCATATTTCAATGAACAATGCACAGTTTTGTGCTTTAACAATTACGCTTAATTCTAATGCAGTTTTTGTGCTTTAACAATTACACTTAATTCTATAAAGTATTAAAGTTTTTATAAAAGCAGATTACCAAATTTACTAAAGAAAATTTAACTTTCAAAAAATAACCTCAGACCAAAATTTAAACATTTGAAAATTCATGAATCTTCAACCTTCATCGGCAGTCTATTATAGACAAATTGGATTAAACGGAAAATGCAGGGTTTACTTACCCTACTTTTCATTTAGCCCGCACCCCTACGGTTTTGCACCGTGGGAAGCGTCACTGCTGCACGGGTGTGGGAGGATACGGATATCCATACGGCGGTACCGCTTGGAACTGACCGTACCCCATCGACTGATACGCGCAAGCGCCAGCATTCGGTGGTGGGCGGTTTGTCTGGAAGAATTTGTTGTTTACCAGATTCTGAATACCAGAATCTGCGTGTCCGCCGGACGGCATGATAAAGGGTGGCGGCATCGAATAGACATTGGGTCCGTTCTGTCCACCGCTAAAACCATTCTGCCGATTCTGGAATCGATTATTCTGGTATCCAGTTCTGTTTTGATACTTGGGCGCGCTGGTGGGTTGATGTGTAGGTTGGCACGCGTTATTAGTCGCCTGGTAGCCGTTCTGGTAGCCGACGGTGGACTGTCGCAAGTAAGATTGTTGATAATTATTCGGGCGATTAGCTTGATAACCGTTGTTGCGTTGATGACGAGCCACGGTTTTCTCCTGGGGCACTTGATTATGATGTCCATGCTGATTTGTCTGCGTCGGTATGTGTTGATTTTGCCAGTTGTTTATCGTTGGGCTGATATTGTTTCTGGGACTTCCGTGTGTGTTGTTATCCTTATTGCCACGTCCGTGGCTCCATCGTTGCCGTCCTTTGCCATATTGGTTCCTGACAGAATTTGCCATGTCGATCAGTTGTGGATTTATAGATTGACCAGCTTCCTCCAGCACAGCGATCAATTCCTTCGCCTGTCTTGCGTTATTCGGCGTGAAATAAGCATAGGCAGTGCCCGCGCTCTGGCAGCGACCAGTTCTGCCGATCCTGTGGATATAGTCCTCGGAGCTGTTGGGGTAGTCGAAATTGATCACGTACTTAACATCTTCGACGTCTAAGCCGCGCGCCGCCACGTCAGTCGCGACCAAAATCATCGTTTTGCCATTACGAAATTCTGTTAACACATAATCTCGTTCCGGCTGTGATTTGTCGCCGTGGATTGATATAGCTGACCAGCCTTCACGTTTGATTGCCTTCGTGATGTCATCCACTTTCTTCTTTGTCTCCACGAAGATAATCATCTTGCTGCCACGTTCGGTTCCAATTTCACGCAACAATTGCGATAGTTTGGTTTCCTTTTCATGCTCCTGGCATATCTCGATGATCTGTCGGATGTTGTGATTTGCAGCCAAGGTCAGAGAGCCGATATTAATCTGGATGTAATCAGTGAGAAAATCTTCGGCAAGAGCCTGCACTTCTTTGGGCCAAGTAGCGGACCACATGAGCACTTGTCGGTCGGGTCGGATCTGCTCGATGATCTTGCGGATCTGCGGCTCAAAGCCCATATCCAACATTCGATCAGCTTCGTCTAATACTAGATAAGTGCATCTACGTAGATTTGTGGTGCCCTTTTCAAGGAAATCGATTAATCTACCAGGTGTCGCGATGCAAATTTCCACCCCACGTTCAAGATCGCGAGCTTGAGGCCCCTTCGGTGAACCACCAAAGATGCAGGTGTTGCGAATGCATGAAGATGAGCCAAAGTCACGTGCGACTGTTTGAATTTGTTGAGCCAATTCACGAGTAGGAGCGAGAATGAGAACAATTGGACCATCGCCACGGCTGAGGCGAGGTTGATGGTTGATGTGCACTGTAGCGGGAAGGATATACTAAAAACAGAAAAAAAACAATACTTTATATAATTTATTTTATGCACAAAATAAGATTATATAATTTTCAAAAAACATTTCTTTTTTTGTAATAATAATCTATACTATTGAAAAAGAGTACTTTTACTTTGATATATATTTTTAGAAACGTTTATAAAGAGTCTATAGTAACATATTTTTTTCTCGTTAATTTAGTTCTTTATTGAAATCATATTCAATGTGCAAAAAATGTTACAGTTAGCAATATTGAATAAAAGTGTTTTCAAAATATTTCTACACTACACAAGAGCGACAATATGTGCATTAAAAAAAATTTATAATGCTACTTAAATTTTTGTCAATTTTAATAACCTAATTAATCAATTGATGCTCTCTACTTGAGTAAAAAAAGTGTGAAATGAAAACTTAGTAGAATAGAAAGTTGGATAGATTATATGACAGTATCTAAGTCGGTCTGTAAAAAATAGACTAAGGATAAATAGATGTAAAAGAAAAGTCTATGTAATCCTCAAAGGAAGTATTAATGAATACATAAATATACACATTAATAATCTTTACTCACTGCTAATGTTTTTCCAGAGCCAGTTTGGGCAATTCCAACGAGATCTCGTCCACTAAGTGCAATTGGCCAACCTTGAGCTTGAATTGCAGTAGGTTCAGCAAATCCTTGCTTCTTGATTTCTTCCATTACATAGTCGGGAAAATTGCTTTCTTCAAAAGTCTGGATTGGAGATGGTGTACTGTTGCCTTTGACAGTGATCTCTTTGCCTGTATGATACTTCTTGATTTCATCAGGAGTTCTTCTAAGAACATTTTTATGAGGAGCATACAAGTTCTTTGTTATCGATGGCATTGATTTTGAGTCCCAAATGGGCTTTTTCAATAAATCTCCTGGAGTCTTCCTATGATTTTGCTTCTTTGCGTTGTGGTCTTTCTGGGTTTGTTGTTGACTGTTCCAATAAGTTCCACCATTTCCTCCACTACGATTGCCATGAAGGTGATTTCGATTCTCCTTAGGCCTATAAGAACTAAGCACAATCTACATAAAAAGATGAGTCTAAAAAGTAAAAAAAAAGGATTTTATTATTAAATAATAAATTTTTTATTACATTTTTGTAATTTATATCAGATTGGTCGAAATATTTACCCATTTATTATCATAGTTTTTCTTCCATTTTTTTTGAATTTTTTTAAAATTTGCAAACAGGATAAAGAAATCATATATCTTCGAACATATTTCTTCGAATGGTAATACATATTTCATTATTGTGACCAATTTATCGATATTAATTATTGGATAAAATCCGGCGGGCACTAAACTCATAAATATCCGCCAGATGATTATATTAATTTTATTTCAGTTAGAAAATGGAGCGAGCAACTCTAAGCTCTTATCGCAAAATGGCGGCCATTCAGAGTGAAGACGAGAAATCTGATGACCATTCGCAATCAATTCTCAGCATTCTACGATGCTGATCAAGCTAATCTTAATGCTAATATTGAATGTAGAACATTGAAGAACGTACTTGTACTGCGAGTATCCGTTGTACATTTTGGTCAGGAAATATGACGACTTGGGCCGAGTGGGTTGCCAAGTTCTGAAAATGTGATGTGTGACGATGTCAATGTCAATTGGCGACGGTGAGATCGTAAATGTTGCAGAATTTATCTTTGTGTGCGACTTTCGATGCTGTCGCGCGAGCGACAAAACTCGCAGGCGAACAGCTTGCTTGATTTGGATCGGCGCAGGGATCCACGAACTTAATCCACAGGAACCGGCGAACAGAGCTGCAATGGCCGAACAAACTCCGAACCTCGGAATGGAAAGAGCCACCTGGGGCAATTAAAGATACTAGTAGCGCTTCTACCACTTCCTTTTCGTACAGCCACGTTCAGCATCGACCCGAAGTTATGGACATGCGTAACGCGGGAAGCTCGTTGCGCGCGCAATCCCAATGCAATCGATCAATTATTGGGCAAAGACATATTATTATTGAAAAAATGTGTTTGTTACGTAAGAGTTATATTGCATCCGATGTGTAACATGTCGATGTTTGCAATAAAAAATTTAATTTGTTGTAGATTATCAGATGTTATACGTTAGGTACCATATAAAATGTGAATTTTTCATTATTAGATGTACTATATTCGGTATTTAGTGATTTCTTTTTCGTGATTCAAGGATTTTTTTTTTTACAGGCAAAAATGTTACTAGCTACAATCACATTTTCCTATTGGATATCGTAACGTTACAAATATAAAACGTAGGATGAATCCTACATAAGACTGCGCACAATGCATGAATATCTAGATACGATGCGCTCAATGCCGAAACCGGAACATCAAAATCGGAAATGCAAGACGTTAATGACGCCGAGTGTTCTGTGAGATTAACCTAACAGTTTTATTGGCTACTCTGATTACTTTCGGTTACTCGCATTGCTTTGTACTACGTAACGACGAAGCGGTAAACGTTCGCATTTTCAGAAAAACGCGGTAAGTGTTTTAACTAAGGCGCAAATGTGGTTTTTATTGAGAACAATTCGACAACTTAACCCCGGAATCTGAGAACGCCGATCGTGAATTTTCACGACTCAACTTTTGATAAATATAATTCGCCGACATGGAAGTGGTTGAAGAGAATGAGCCTAACGTTTTACGGGAGATAGCGAATGACGAGGAATTGGCGCAAATTCCACAAGAATTAGTGAGGAAAATTCATTCACATTTCAATGTGAAATTTGACGAATTTATAACTGCCAAGGCAGTTTTTGAAACTAACCGGAAAAATCTGGGTAAGCTGGACGCCGGTTTGGGTTTTATGATCTTGAATATTTGGAGGACATGTGGTTTATTTATTCCAAAGATTTCTGCACTTTTCTTCCTTTGATTTAAATTTTTTCTAATAGCAAAGCTACATCTATTGAGAACTTTAGTGGAAATTATATATCTAATTTTAAATATTTAAAAGAATTTATTTTAATTCTAGAACGCTATAGTTTTATATATATCTTGATTTACAGAACAAAATTTGGAAAAAACACAAAAAGAGTTTGCGGAACAGAAGTTGTATCTTGATGAATACAAAGAGAAATCAGAATTAGCAGAAAAGAACAATGCAGAGTTATGCAGCAATCTGGAAGAAGTTAAGAATGAAGTACACAAATTACAAGAATCTGTCAAACGGTAATATATTAATTGCTGATAATACTTATTGTAATATTAATATTACAATAATATCAATTGATATTAAATAGTAATAATTCTATAAAACTGTTAAACAATATTTATTAAAAATAATAAAACTATAATGCTTGTCCTTTAAATGTTACATTTAATTTAACAGTATTTTATAATAAAATATTTTATTTAATGTAAAAAATAGTTTGGAGAAGGAAAATGGCGACCTACGTAGACAAAGAGATGCAGTTACGGATGAGGCAAATGCATTGCAGCTTCAAGTTGAAAGGAGAGATACTGAAGTTGAACGAATGCGCACTGAATTATCCTCCTTAAGCTCTCAGCTTCAAACTGCAATTGCAACTAAATGCCAAACTCTAGCTGAGACTGAAGAAATTCGCAGTCGAGAAATGACTTTAGACTTCAAGTAAGTTAAAAAAAATGTATTAATATCAGTTTTATGTAATCAATATTTAACATATAAATTTAATATGTACATAGGGAGAAACGACTGGAACAAGAACGAGCACTTCTTTCTCAACAAATGGCAGGCCTTGAAGAAGAACTGAACAAGAGAACCTCTGAATTGCAGACATCAAGATCTGAAGCCTCTGGCAGAGCTCTTTTAATTGATACTAAACTGTCCCAACGCGAGGAAGAGCTGCGCATAGCCAATGAAGCTAATTCGCAATTGAGAATATCAATATCGTCTCTTCAGCAACAGTGCGACGAATTAGTTCAGAAAGTGGAACAGCAACGAGCTCATGAGATCGCTATAAATGATTCTTATCAAAAAGAAATTAATGCACAGAAGAATCTAGCCAGTTTATATGAATCCATGAAAGATGACGCTAATGCCAAGGCTGAGGCAATCTCCAATGCAGCGAGTGAATTGCAGAAACTTGTAGATGGTACTGCAGAAGAATACGGAATTTTGGAGACAAAGTACAATCAATTAATGCTCCAACATAAGCAAGATATCGAAGAGAAAGAACAAAACATAGAGAGCCTAACAAAGGAATTGGAACACGCTAATGAATTGCTGAAGAGTATCCAACAAGGTGCGTTGTATTCTCGTTTTTCACGTTTAATGCATTGACATTAATAGTACACATTTGATTTTTACATTATTTTTCTAACGCTAGATGTATTTTATTATGTAATTTACAAATTTTTTCATTTTCACAGAGAAATTAGATCAAGCTGTGGAACAGTTAGCGCCTACAGCAGCCATAACAAGTCGAGTGCTTCGAAAGGGTTTGAGTCTTACGCAGATTTACACGAAACATGTCGAGATCAGCAATGAATTGACTTTGACGCAAGAAGAGAACAAACGCCTGAAATCTGAAATGGAAGTGATACATCGCGAACTTGAGGAGAGAGCGCCATTGGTACAGCAACAGCTTCAAGATTACGAAACGGCTATGAATAATGTGGTAACGCTGACGTCAAGGTTGGACGAACTCCTCGTGGAGAATCAGCGTCTTCACGAGAGAGCCGATGAGGCTAACCGTATAGCCAAGCATCATACGCAAGAAAATCAGAGACTGAAAACTGAACTCGCTGACTTGGCGAGACAAGTGAGTTGATCATAAAATTATGATTTCATATTTTCTGCAGAATACAACAGTATTTCAACATGATAAACTTATATATTTAATTGATTCTGATATTCATGAGGCGCTTTTTTTCGCAGGTGTGTTATCTTCTCAAAGAAGTCCAAGAAAGTCGCAGTGGTACCCGCGTGGAAAATAGAAATTTATCTTCGTCCATAGATACGGACGATATCTTGTCATCGCAAATCATCAGCAAGAAGCTGGTGACCTTTAAGGACATTGAGGAGCTGCAGGAAAATAATCAGAAGCTCTTGGCGGTTGTACGCGTGTTATCATCCAGGCAGGAAGAGATCGAACGTGCCACCGATGAGATAAATTCTGGCGAGATGAAGGAAAAATTGGATCGTTACATGGAGCAGCTATCGGAGATGCAGGTTTCGCAGGACAGGCAGTCGAAAATGTTGGATGGTCTTTTGAAGCAAAGGGACATGTACAAGAATATGTACCAACAGATCTTGAAGAACTCTGAGAAGAAGAAGGATGAAACGGAAAATGATATGGAGGAAGGCACATCTAAAGCAGAGGAAGAATCGAAGACCACGAAAAGCAATCAGGAAAAGGAGGAGTGGTCGAAAAAGTTGAAGTTAGTCGAGGACAAACTCAAACATGTCTCGGATGAATACGAGATGTACCGAAAGGAGCGGACTGCGCACGAGAAGATGTTGGGCGAGGAGGTGGAGAGACTCAGAAAGGAAGCGGAAGCAAATTCAGCGAGATGTTGCAGACTGAGAGCACAACTGGACTCTGCGAACGAGAGATTTACACTCTTGCAAGGCAACGTCGCTTCTTACAAGACTCAAATCAAGACTCTGGAAGAGAAGTGCACCAATTACAATGTCACCATCGGTAAGCACGAGCAGAGCATTATGATCCTGAAAGATGAGACGCTCGGCGCGCAGACTCGCTTGTCACGTGCTGAAGTTCAATTGGAGAATGTACGGCAAGAATGCCGAATTCTGCGAGATTCCGAAGGACGGCTGCTGAAGGAACGGGAAGTTTATCAGAGGGAAAGACAGACTCAATCTCTGCTCAAAGCGGATATGGAATCTATCAAAGCCAGTTTGGAACGCGTCCAGGCTGAAGGACAGCTCAGGACCGAGCAGAGACTCGACGACGCTAACAGAGAGTGCGCCGCGCTTCGGCGTCGTCTTCAAGAAGAACAGGATCGCTTTAGAGAATTGACTTCACATCAGGAGAGACAATTGGTAATCTTACAAGACAGATTGAAGGAAGAACGCGAAGTGAGCGAGAAGATAAAGGCACAGTTAGATCAAGCGCGAGAAACTGAGGCTCAAAGCAGTCAAAAAGTCGACGAACTAAGCAACAAATTGAGACAGGCAGCCGCCCATTCCATCTCTAAGCCTTTGACAGGAGATGAGGGTCTTGTGAAGAGAGTGAAGGAGCTGGAGATACAGTTGAATACTTATCAAGTAGAAGTGAAGTCGCTCTCTGAACAACTGAAAGCAGCTAGACAACAAAATCAACAATACTGCGATATCGCCGAGAGCGCAGAGACGCAATTGAGAGAATTGACCGCGGAGTATAACAAGTGCAAAGAGGAGTTGGAGAACGCCCTGAAGGAATCGCGCGTAGAGATTATTTCGCTGCAAAAGAAAGTGAAGGATCTGAGCAACGATCTGGCAAGAATATCGAATGGTAGGCAGGAAACCGATTCAGAGCTAAGAGAGAGGCTGGCCGAGGCTGAGAGGAAGGTCGAGGAGCTGGACGAGTTGAAGGGCGAGCTGGAGTTGTTGAAGAGCGATCTGAAATCTGTCTCCATCACGGCCAAAGAAACAGAAGAGAAATACGCGAGGGAAATGATGCAGCATTCGTCCGATTTGCAGGTTAGTTTAACAAGGAAAAAATAAATTAATTCCAAACAAATTTACTAATTATTTTGCATAAATTTTTTTTAGCTTCTCGCCAAACTGAAGGAAGAAGCTCAGCAAGTTCAACAGCGTATTAGTGTTTTGACTCAAGAGCGGAATGCAGCGTTGGAAGCTTTGAAGATTGAGAAATCTGCTTCTAAAGAAAGAGAACAGAAATTAACGAATGAGATCGAAGAGACGCAGAAAAGAGTCGTGGATCTGGACTCGCAAAATACACTTCTGCATAATCAAATCCAGGAATTGGGCGACCGAGTCGCCATTATACAGAGTCAGCAGACCAAGATAAGTGGAAGAGAGAGCCCCGATACCAGCCTGGAAGCTCTGAATAAGAGTTTCAGCTCTCTGGAGGAAGACTCCAAGTCAGTGGAACAGTTGTTGAGAGTCATGAAGTACTTGCGAAGGGAGAAAGATCTGGCGATGGCGAAATCCGACGTTCTACGAGCGGAAAATCTCAGATTGAAGTCACAGGCCGAGATGGCAGAGAAACGGCTGAAAGAATCTGAAACCTTGCTGAATTCTGAACGAGAAAAGTCCGAAATCGACGTAATGACGACGTCCAAGCACGCAGAACTACTGCGTAAAGTGGAGACTTTGAATGCTATCACGGATTCTAACCGTATTCTCAGGGAGGAAAGAGACAGTTTGAGTGCCAAGGTGAACGAGCTCATGGCAAAAGTGAATGCTTTATCGGAGGAAGTGGTGCCTCTTCGCGATATATCTAGAGACTTGACGGCGAAAACTGAAGCTTTGGCGGAAGAAAACACCAGCTTGAAGGGCGAGGCGACCAGGTGGAGACAGAGAGCGAATACGTTATTAGAGAGAGCGAATAAGGCCAGCCCCGAGGATTGGCGGCGACTACAGACCGAAAGAGAGAATCTCAGCAAATTGTTGACGTCAGAAAGGGAGACTCATGCGAAGAGAAGTGAAGAATTTAATCAAACGAAGATGGAGAAGTCGAAACTCGAAGAGCAATTGGGACAAATGCAAAAACAAATACAAACTCTGGACGAGCAGATGTTACGCTCGTCTGAAGAGGTCCGCAAACTTGGCCAAGAGCTCAACGATGCATTAGCAGATTCCTCTTCGAAGGCGAAAGATCTGGTTTTGCTCAGAAAGGAACTAAGCGACAAGGAAGCCGTTCTTAACGACATTAGAAACAAGGAAATTCAAATTCGCAAAATAGCCAAAAAATACAAAACGCAGTTCGAGGAACTTGCGAGAACCGTCGAGGAAGAAAAGAATCGTAACGAAGAAGCCCGAAATGAGGACACCTCTGGCGCGGCCGCGCAAGAGCGCGAGGATCAATTGCGAGAGGAAGGCCGCCAAGAACTGCGACAAATGAACGTCGAACTCACGACAAAGATGGATGAATTAACTCGCCAGATGGCAGCGAATCAGAGCGAAACCGACAATCTGAGAAAGGAGATCGAAGCTATAAATCGCAGTAGCATAGAGAAAGAAGAGAGAGCGAAGCAGGTTCTCAAAGGCGCTAGGACGAAAATCATGCAGTTGACAGAATCGAAGAAGATCTGCGAGAAGGAGTTGTTAGATTTGAAATCTAGAATAGAATCTGGAGCTGGGAGCGCGGGGATATCAGGCGATCCCGAGACAGAGCATGATGCGCGTCTAGTGGCGCTAAAATCGCAGATGGAAGGTCGCATCTCTCGGCTGGAGCACGAAAAGTCGGAGATACAGGCGGAGAAGGAGGCGCTTTTACAACGGGTTACTCAACTCCAGAGACAATTGTCAGGCGTGAGTGGAGTAAGCGCGACCACGGAGCCGCCGACGGCGAATATCAAGCCGATGTCGGCTAGAACGGATACACCTTTGGCGAGTATCCGGCCAATGAGCGTAGTGGTGCAATCACGAACGGCAGCTGTATTGCCCACTACAGCTGGTGCGCCGGTCATGGTTGCACCACATCAGATGCAGCAGCAACAGCAACAGATAGTACATACTACGGAAACGAGCTCGCCGACTAGCAGTCTGACGGACTTTCAGCCGGCGAGTACCAGCAGTTCTTCGCAGAGCGCACAGACTCTCCGCCAGTTGGTGGTGCAACCGCAATTAAGCGAGTCGGCTGAATCGACGCAAAGGGAAGATCCGGAAAGCGCAGAATCGCTCAATGTACAACCGCAGCAGCAACAGTGCCAGCAACAGCAGCAGCAACAGCAGCAGCAGCAAACTGTAGCGTTGGTGAGCCCCAGAGTGGAACAGCAGCAGCAACAGCAGCAGCAGGTTGTCGTCAGCGATCAACAACAGACGGTAGCGAGCAGCTCCACACAATCAGTTAGCACATCTCAAGCGTCCATAAGTCTCAAAGAAGTCGAGTTCTAGACTCGACTGCTTCTGGTTCTGGAATGATTGAGGGAGTGGACCACGGACGCCAAGAACAGGCGCAGAGTCCGAAGACCAAGAGAAGCAGGCAGGATATCAGCGCGACCGCGAGTGCTAGCGTCTCCGACGTGGAGTATCAGGTGAGAATGGTATGATAGGGAGAGAATGGGAAGTGATCGGTTTACTTCGGCATCGAGTAATCTATCAATTGACGCCAATTAATATCGACAGGTTCCTACATCAAGCCAGAGAGATCAAGACGAGGAAATGGAAGAAGGTTGCGTGGTGGTCGTAGATTGTGACGAAGGTGAAGGTGGAGGCAACCACCAAGCTCAAGAAGAGGAGGAATTCGACAATGATCCGTACGAGATGGAGGAGGAGGAAGAGGAGCCTTACGAAGTCGAAGTGGAAGTCGAACGAGACAATAACGAGGTGGAGATTATTATGGAGGAGGATTCCACCAGTGTCGAGGTGCCGAGGCAAGGCCAAGCAGTCATGCCTACCAATCAGCAACAGTCCGAAGCCATCAGCAGCGCTGGGCCGACCGGCGAGCCTCAAACGTCTTTCACGACGAGATCGTCGAGAGTGATTGCGCCGATGCCCAGACAGCAACAGCAGCAACATCTTCTTCTGGTTTGTATTCAAGATACTTGTAACATTATTTTCATTGACAAGATTCACCTTGCGATCGATTTATTGTCGTCTTCTTTTTCCTCTTTTTTTCCAAAAGCCACAGAGTTACGAAGATGGCGGCGATGACTGCATTGTACCGAGCACGCCTACTCTGTTTGTTCCTCGCCGCGATGGCTTCGGCGAAGCTGTGAGTTCTCCGCAAGTTCCGCAGGCTCGTTTCACTTTCGGAGATTCGTCGGCGCCTACAACAGCCTCGTCGACGCCGTCTTTAACGACGCCCACAGGTTCCACTACAAGAACCATCTTCGGTTCTTCATCGAATTCTGCAGTGCCTCAGGTGGTCCAGGAAAGCCTAGATGATAGTAGAATGGACCTGGTGCAAATGGAAGAAGGTGGCACTGGTCGTAGCGTGCCCACTACACCGCTCCAGGTGTCTCCAGCTGCAGATTTACCACCATCGGTGAAATATTTATATTTTAATATAATTTCCGATGATATGACGAATATGATTTCGAGAAACCTACAAGTAAATAAATATTTTGATACAATAATGCAAGTTATAATACTTATTTTAATTGAATAGATAAAGTTATCATTTTTCTTAAATTACGAAAAAATACGCATCTTACTTCATTCTTTAAATATTCATTCTGTATTTTTTCTCATTTAATGCTTTTAAAATAGGTTATTTTAAGAAAGGAAAAAAGCTGTAAATAATAATTATTAATAGTAAAAATGTATAATTAATACTTGTAATTCTCATTGCAACAGACTAGTAGTGGCCAAGTCGAAGAACAAGAAACCAGCGTATCCGTCGCGCCCGTTTCTGTGACAGTCACTTCCGGTGACAATGTCGAAGAAGTCAGCATTCCGAATATTCGCATCGTGGGTACTGATGATCAGCAACGCGGTCCAATCGAAGCCACGGAATCTAGCACAACACCAAGCGAAGGTATTTCATTAAATCCAATTAAATTTTCATGTCATTTATTCAAGCTTTAATGATAATGTTAAACGGCTTATGCATTATATTGATTTACGTGACTTATCGCCTCCATTTTTCCCGAAGGAGTGAGTTCAGAGGGTGAAAAACGATCAGAAGAATCGGTGACCGAGGATGATAGCGTGGATACAGTGGAAGTGGCGGAAGAAGCAGGAAGCGAACTCGTCGAAGACGAAGTCGAGGAAGAGAGTCGCGAGGCAGAGGCATCGCCGTCTAGCAATACTCGCCAGAGAACGATGGCGGCCAACCTGGCGGCCAGCATGACGAATGCGGGTGAATCTAACAACGCCAGGGGAGCGACGCTGAGAAGATCGCCGAGGTCGCCGTTCAGGGCAGCGAGAGGTGCGAGACCTACGCCGATTGTATGGGGAGAAGGCCAATCCGGTAGAGGTGAGCAATTTTACTTATTTCAAGACAGGATAGAATATAATGAATATTAATGGATAACATATCCATTTTCGAAGGACAAGCCGTGATGCGAGGGCACACGACAAGAGGGACCACAAGCGAAGGAGGACGAGGACGAGGAACGCGCGGCCGACGAATGCGTTCAAAATATCCTTATGGTCGATATTCGTAATATCGCATATCGACTATGTTTCTTATTTTGTACGCCTTTTATTCGGCAGATATTCTGTGTAGATTATACCGTCGATTCCTGTTAAGTAAGTAAAGAGAACTTTAATGAAACTGATTTTTCACTTTTTTCTGGAAAAAATATGCAGGAATTACATAGATATATATTTATATTAATTTTGTTCATGTATCTCTTTTAAGTAAGGTTTTTTATTTAAGAACTTCTGGAAATGATGGAGTGTCTGATGTTTGTAAAGGTTTAAAGATTGAAAAACTTTGCAGAGGTTTTGTTACTTTTAGCTTCTAAGAAATAAATTCCATAATTATGAAATAAAGTTAAGTTCCTATTTTTTTCTGATTAGGTTTTTTGCGTGAAAATAAAACTCCAAATTATAAAATCCACTTTCATTTCGTTTAACCCGTATAAGGTTAAATATAATTTGCAACGAATGAAATATTTCCAAGAGTTTATACAAATATGGAATATGTTTATACAAATATATTTGTGCTAGACAGTACATGTATAAATTAGTTATCTAATATCTAGAAATTTTTAAAACATTAATAATTAAAAGTAGATAATAGGTATATAAAAATAAACTGCACAAATTAATATAAAAATATCCGAAACTGCGATTTATTTTTATAACCACATTTCTATTGCTTTGATTTTTATAAATTAGTTGATACATAACTTACTTAATAAATATAAAAATTAAATAACATTCAAACAATTAATTGCTAATTAAATAACTATAGGAATACTGTTGAATTTTTAAGATACGTCACGATACATACCGATCGCATCTCGATTTCCTTATCATTTATTTTATATTGAACATTATTTGTTTAATAAATAAATTTATATAACTGAATATTTATCAAAATTATACTAAATTTAAAACTACTATAACAAAATACTGGTGTAAACTAAATTGTGACGAGCTTATATTGGCCAGTCGCCAAGTCGATCACTTTACTTTCCGCTTATTTAATATATAAATTGATTCAAATCATATTGTACAGCGTGTTTAGTAAAGATTCATGAAGAGTATATTTCTTGTTGAAAATTATAAAAATTTCTTTTTCAGCATAACTTAATTGCATTTAAAAAATTTTGTTTACCGGCAAGATAAAATTTATCAATTACAAAAGATTTTACCATCTCTTTGCATTGAGCATGGTCTATCATATAAATATTAAAAAATTAAAATTGTAATATTTTTATTAAAAAAGTTATTTTATAACTTTCAATAGGAAATATTTTAATTAAAATTTTATACTAGAGTGTATTATAAAATTCTTGAAAGAAACTTTTACGAATTGCTCCTTTCTTTTCTTCCTTTCTTTTTTTTTAGTAAAATGTTTGACATTTTTTTCCAATTCTCAATTTTCTATGTTGAGATCTTGATAATCAAATATCACAAATTTGATTCAAGAGTTGCTATAATTTTGAATAAATAATAAGAATGTATTATTTATCCACACTTATAGAGATTTAAAAATCGAAAATTCATTTACAAACTTAAAAAAGTCTTTCCCTCTTTTTGAATCTGTAAGTATATTATCCACAATTTTGTGGCACTCTGCGTATAGAGCTATTTAAATCAAACGTAGAGCGCGATATATATTCCGTTGCGTCTGGACTTTGTTTAACTGGCATAAACTTTATGTTTAACGCGCTAACAGCATCGCGCATTTAGCGAAAGCATAGTGAAGTTATATTTAGCGCTAATGTGACTGTGTTAGGTTTCGTGCTGTTATTTGTTTCATATAGCAATCACGTTGGAAATAAATGCGAGTTCGACAAATTGAACACGCAAAGAAAATAGCTGGCATCATAGATCCCATTTCGAAATCTCATATTACAACTAATAAACCGATATGATCTCTTTATCACAATGTCACAAAAAATATTCGTTAATATTTCTACAATATTTACGATCACATTCTATGAGGCAGACGAGACAACTAGTTCCCACTGAATCTCGCTTCGTACATAATTATTTATAATATTTAGAACGTTTCATATGTATATTTTGAATACAGAGAAGTATGAGAAAACACGTAGTGTATTATACGTGCGTTGAGGTGACTGTGAATGCTTCTTCTCTATCCTTGCGGGATATCTTCATCTCCATATTCCTTAAATCGTTTTAAATTTATCTAATGAAGGACTCGTTTTCACGTTCTATCCAAATAACACTTCCAAATTTATATTCATTCTTTAAATTATTTTTCATGACATATTCGTGTTAGCAATCACAATCATTTATTAAATATTCTAAAAAACTTCTTCACATTATGATCGATGATCATCCACGTCCTCTATTAATGATTCTTACAGCTGCAGTTGAACTAGATATTCAAATCAGCACAGTGTCTCACTTCGTTTCTTGTCTCTTGAAGTTCTAGTTGTAGAAAGGAAGAGATTAGACTCAGGCGAGTGTTAATCGCGGACGCTTTTTTCACTCAGTCTAATTGCTCTCGGCCTTAACTACAGTCAATTAATATTTGTCAGCATTTTATATAAATTTCTTTGTACCGTAACACTGCCTAGCATAAAAAATTGGCAAGTAAAAAAGTCAGTTATTGATGCGTCCTCCGCGTTCATTTCTAATATATTAAGTAACTATAAAGATCTTAAACCTCTACCTTGATTAACTAACTGCAATTAGTATTCCACATTCTGTTTGTACCATAACATTGTCTATTAGAAAAATGCAAGCTAGTCAATTAATGCTGGTTGATGCACTTGCATTGCAGTCTTCCGTTCTACTCAATGAAGAATCCAAAGATCCTCGTGTATCAAGGATTAAGGATCTTTATGGTAGGCGGCAGATCTGTCCTATTCCTCATTGCCCAACTGCTATCAGGCACACAAGTGCACTCCTTGTGCTGCTCGATTCTAATCCACGTTTTCTTTGTAATGTTCGTATTTAAATTTTTAATTTCGACCTCTATTTGCTCATACTCGATCAGCGTCGGTGCGCAACTTTGATCTTTGCTGGAACAGCAGCCCGAATGACTGTCGCATCTCTCTTGCACAATGTACGCCGGTTGTTTTGGCTCCATGTTCCGCATTATCGAATCCTGCATATTCACCAGATCCTTTAGATTATAAGATCTTAATCGAGGTTTGCAGGGAAATGCTTCTTTACGAGAACATCTTATCGCGTCTCTAAAGGAGGTTTTCTTATCGGACAGCGAAGAACTGGGAGCAGCCAAAAGCACCATTGTCTGATCCATCGCCGTCAGGATCAGAATGAAGAATCTTAAAAGCGATTCCTTCGTCGGCCTGCCTTGCACCATCGTTTTCATCGAAAAGTAATCTTCAATTCCACCTGGTCCACCGAAAAGTGGACAGCTCAGGAATTAATTGAATTGATTATTGAATCCTTGATTTAGCAAAAAAACCGACTGCTGTGGATTTGAGAAATAACATGGGTGTTTTTTTTTGCTACTTTGCTTGTGAATTTTCGCCTCCTTCGAGATGTGATTAATCGCGCTTCCAAAAATGAAGGATTCCTCTTTCACTGCAATTTCCTCCACCTTGTGACCTTATTTCTTCTTTTCAAAGAGGAAGAATGTCTGAGAACTCGTAGCGGATCTGACGAATCTCTTCCTGTGAGGTATCCTTCTTCTATTTTTTTCTTCCTGTTCTTGAATCTTCCTTTCTTTGCACAAGTAACGAATAATGGAATCACGTGGTTTTTCGAACAAAGATAGCTCGATAGATGGGCGACTAGCCACGAGCATCAAGTATCGTTCGACTGAGATTTTCCTGGTGGCACACGAGTATTTATATATGGAAGAGCTTACACGCATGCCTCACGCGACAGCATGCGTAAAGTCCAGATTATGTCTTCCGTAATAATTCCGTTCTATTGTGCGTAGTCTGCGCTTAACACCGTTGCTTAATTTCCTTTACTTGGAATAATGATTACCATAATTGATGATGAGACTGTTGAATATCAGTATCATTGACACTATTGATCGTAATGTAAATGAAATAGTAATATAATAATAATGATAATTAATATGTAAATAATATGTAAAATTGTTATCAACTTAATGTCACATTTTTATATCAATATTTTTAACAATATTAAATATATGCATATGTATGTAATTTTAATATTAATATATTAATTAATTTAAATGTGAAAAATTAATTATTAATAATATAACTCAACAATAATAATTTTGTATTTTTATAATTGTGGATAGAACACAATAAAAGTATGTTAAAGGAACAATTCGAGTTCTTCCATGTGATTAATGTAAAGGATAATTGTCCGTTTTGGAATCAATTCGCGCGACATTAACTCTCTTAAACGGTTGCTGCAATTTTGTGCGAATAGTTACACTAAAAAGTTACCTTTTGCGGCACAATGCTTTTAGCAATGAAAGCGAGATTATCTCGCAAATAATAATGATTACTTCGAGCATTTCGGTCAATTTGTTGACTTCTGTGAATCGTAAAATCCCCTTTTCTCATCTCATGGGGAAAAAGCAAAATTGCCTGTTGTTATGAAATCTTTATTATTGCGAATCTCTCTTCGTAAATGCTAGAACAGAACATTAAAAAGATAAAAGCAATTTTATATATTTTAAGCCAATTGTTAGTTTTATAATAACAAATTTTGCAACTGCTCCATTTAACATTTTTGATAACTAACCCAAAAGATTATTGACTGTCTTAATAAACAGTTATCAAGAAATGTATCAGAAATTTTTTAAGATCTTAGCATTTGAATCTCAAGATCTTAAATCGTATGCACATTATTGAATCCTTCTTCTCAATTTTTTATGATTAATGGCAGAATGATGCGTTCTACGAAGGAAACACGTACTTCTCGAGAAGTCAGAACTCGACGACGTCATAACATGATGATGATTACATATATATCTTGGTTAATAGTCAAACGCAGAGAGATCGATGCGATATTATTCACAGCTTGTCTTCTCTATACCAATTAAATTGATATATTGGAACATACGTGGTAGATTTGCATCACCAAGTCCTTTTTTTCTTTTGCGTAAATTAACTATTCGACTGACTAATAACTAATGTATGACTATCAATGTATAATTTAAATAATGTTCAAGATAGCTTTTGTATGTTAGATTCCATCGAGGTTGCATCATAAAAGTAGTTTCTGAACTGAAAAATAAAGAAATATTACATTTCTGCGCAATATCATTTTATTCAGCTAAGATTAAGTTTAAGTGTTAAATGATAAGATTGCATTGAATATAATTTATCTTGCCGCAAATTGCCGTTAAGTTTTAAATTACGAATCATTAATAATGTTAAACTCTAAGTGTTTTTACGATATATGCAATTTGACAAGTTATTTTTGCAATGTTATATATGAAAGTTAAATTTAAATTATTTCTAATGGAATACCTGGTTCTGTGGAATTTATTTGAAATGGATTAAGGAATCACTTCCTTTCTCTCTTTCTTTTTGTTTAAGAATTGGGATCTGGCTAGATGACTCAGACAAAATAAACGGCGTATTTTTAGCAAATCCAATATTCCTGGCTGTCGTTGTGGTCAAGCTTGTCACTAAGACATCTATTGCTAATTATACACGCGATGTGTCAGAATTTCTGGATAAGTGCATCTTTATCAGTAATTATAGCGTCATGTGTCAAGCGCCATATGACTATAGTGTTGCGATTAGCTATTGATTTTTAATTATCAATAATGAAACCAATACAATCCTGATAGAATGGCATCCTAAATGACTGAAATGTTGGTGAAATCTGAAATTATTAAATAAAATGACTATGTGTAATTATTAGATAAAATGATAATGTGTAAATTGAAATCATTTTTTACATAAGTCGTATAGTAAAATATGGATCAATATTGCGTTATTCCTCGTGCCGTGACGCAAGTGGAACAACATCTAGACAAGAGGATATTCCTCCTTCCTTCCCTTATTGCTGACGCATCCTTCTTGCATCCACGTATAACGGGTGTCTTGGTAAACGTCAGACACTTGTTATTTAAATTGAGATTCCATTAAGAAATTTCACTGCAAACATGTTTTGTATATCTTTTACGCGAGTCTTTTGAGTGTTGAAGAAGTGCTCCAGGCGACTTCACTCGTGAGTATTTGAAATTTACAAAGAGTCTTTAAAACTCATGTTATAGGTCCATTCATATCGTTTGGATTCGACGAATGAATCACGTTCCTTCCCGCGTAGGGTGACGTACCGCCAATATAATTGTTGCAACACAACTAAAGTATTTCCCTTCTTCCTGTCAAACGAAGAAACAACTTCCTTTCCTGTTCCCTGTTTTTTGGTCTGAGTAATTCATTGATAAAGTTCCTGTTGCAGAAATAATATGTTATACAATTCAACTTCCAATTGAGATATGATGCAATTTATATTCCAATGTGTGTTACACATCCCTTACTTTTTTTTCCTTTTATGATATTAAAGATGATTTATGTGTTTGTATGAGTCAGTCGTCGATGACTCAATCTTCGGATGTAAGATCGCCAAAACGATGCCAGTAACATGAAAATGAATCACGATGGACCGCTCTCACTTAACTTTCAATCAGATTCTTTAAGCCGTGGACATCATGAATAATTATCTGGCCGCCACTATCACGATTAGAGATTCCAGATTTTATTGCGTGCGTGTCACTGATAAATAAAAAAGCGCAATAAACGCGTTAATATGTAAGTTTTTGAACTAACGTCTACATTTATGTAACTCAAGAAAATTTTTTTCCTTATTCGTTTATCTATCACCTCAGCCTGTTATACGATAGCGGGAAATCCGCGGTTTATACGTAAATCGAAGAAATTCCTGGAACGCATGCTATTACTAGACACAACGCAGACGTCTCTATAACATTGCGATAAACATTACATAACGCTGCCGCAACGCGAATAACCGTTATATTTCGGGTGATTCTTATAAAAATATCCATAATATTTGAAAAATTAAGAGAATTTTGAAACAAGATACTTCAGATTTAAGAATGCAACTTCTGCAGTTTCGTCTGACCACTGCTACTTGGATTCCTGCATGTCAAAGCAGGTGGCCAAACAAATCGGGGAGAAAGAAGAAAGGAGAAAACATTCGGAGAACGAAAGAAGCAGAGCAAGAGGAAGAGGAGTCACGCGATGCAACATAGTGTTCTCGCTGCTCCTAGTAATTATAGTTATCTCGGAGAGCTTCTCGGAACAGTTACACCGATCCCTCCACAAACCTTCTCCTTTTACCGGGAATCCACAGGGAGATGCCTGTAGCGAAGAGAAATCGAAGAGCAAGTGAGAACAAGAGAAAAGAATTGGAGAAGGGAGGACTTCGAGTAAGGGGAGAGCCTGGATAAGTTACGTATATACACCGAATGAGAATTCAGATCGCAGAACCTGTCGGCAATCGCAGCAGATCTCTTCGATGCGGATTTGAAGATTGAGGAAGGAATCGATAAAAGCTAACTCATAGAAAGATCCTCGTAAAAAGTCCTTATAAAAAAAGCGAAGAAACATCTCTGAAAATAAGACATGAAATTCATTGAAAAAATTTAAGTTAATTGAAAAAAATAGAAGTGAGAAAATTGTTTACCTGAAGTTGATGTATTTAAAAATGCTTTGCTCTGCCTGAAACAAATTTAATTTGAAAAGGGAATAAAATCTCTTCTTTAATTTAATTGCCTTTTATATTTTATTTCGTAGTGTATTCTTACTTTGTCGCACTCTTCGATCCGTGGCTAAAAAAAAACTGGTAGAAATAAGGCATTTTTAGCATCCAAAGTGATTTAAGACACTGAAGTGATTTAAAGACTTGTGAACATTTGTTTCGTACATCTTGAAGATGAAGAAACTTTTATTGCTGATAATCTGCATTCAATTCGCTTTAATCGTCATTGGCAGACATCACAGGTGAGAGTATGACATTTTCCTAAAAAATTTATTCATTAGATTTTTCTAATTTATTCTTAATTTTTTGTTTACTGTTCCTGTTTTCTCATTTTTCTTCTTTGTTTATTTCTTGTTCTTCCTTTTTCTCCGTTTATTTTTACAATTGTATATTTTTCCAACTTACGTTTTTCTTTAATACAGGGACAGTGGATTTTTGAATCACGTGCAGCTGGTGCATCAGTTTCGATGTTCCTTGCCGCAACCAAGGGCTGTTCCGGTGAAAGATCTTCTGACTGTAGGCCTCGGACCTGACGAAGTCTTCTATCCTGCATCCACAGTTTTGTCACGCTGCGCAGGATCAGGATGTTGTCCTAATTCGACGCAGATCTGTGCTCCAACCGAAACCAGGAACGTTAGTCTCGTCTTCATGGTGATGCACCGCATTGATCGGCAACGAGATCGTCATCACGAAATCATTCACGCTTTGGAGCACACCAAGTGTGCCTGCATGGACGAAACTTTAGCTACGAAGGATTCCAGGTTTTAAACAAAAATCAAACAGCTTTGAGTCCTGAAAATTAAAATTTCTATTGTTCAAAATATATTCTTATTAATTTTTGTCAATACACCTAATTTTGAAAAAAAATGTAATACTACATCTTTGTTCTAAATTTTAAAACATATTGGAATCAAAAATTCTCCACTATGTTCAAAAAATCTTTTCATCTATTACGCGGATAAATCCAAGGATTTATAATAGATTAGGGATTAATGTTAGATTCAAACAGGATGCAAAGTAGTAAGCAGCACAAACACATTCGTAAGACTTTATTGGGTCCAAAAATGAAGGCTTTATATCTGTGATATTTTTATTAAGTGTTGTTTTATATTTCATATATATTTTTTTTAATAAACTAAAGTTATAAAACGAACTTATTTGATAGAATGGAAAGTGCAACAGAATTAAGAGAATTATGTATTTTTCCTTTGTGGATAGAAAAAAGTCTTCAAATGTATCTTGTACATTTTTATAATATATTTTAATTATACATACTTGTCTACGTATTATATATTCATCGACTTATTCATAAATAAATTGAAGCGTTTCCACAATTTTCACAAGAGTCTTGCAAAACCTAGTCCACCAGTCGTTTTTCTTCATTTCTTAATATCGAAATATTGTCTGACAGCATAAAGATCGTTTTTAATACTGTCGTTATTCGGATCTAATTCCAAAGCGGTTTCTAGCTCGGGAATTCCATGCTGTGGTGCAGATAATTTGCACAATGCAGCGCCTCGGCGAGCATGACATCTCGCTCGCGATACTCTATTACTTTCGCACTTTGGCTCCATTAGTTCTAACGCCTGTAGACAAGAGATTTCCTTTTTTTAGATTTTAACCAAAGAAAATATATGCTTATGTAGAAATGCGATAAAGATACAATAAACAAAACTGGCTTAAAATACTTTTTTTTAATTTTTTCTATTTTAAATTTGTGAATTCTTTTATACTGCATTTTTTTAAGTTATTTTTTATATTGTTCTGTATTTTTTAAAACTTTGGAGATGTTTGTGGAATACTCTGTATACGCAATAATAATTGCTATTCCACTTACCTTGGAACTATCGTCAATGCACCTGTAATAATTTCCAATTGCATAATGCGCAGCGGATCTATTTACATAGAGCGTCGTCATTTTGTCGCTAATTTTTATCCCGTGTGTATATGCACTAATAGCAGCCAAATAATTCCCTGCCTTGAAGAAGTCACTGCGAAAGAAGCAATTAATCGAAACATTAGTAACTGCACAACAAAGCACACTTTTGCTGACATACTCGCCCTTGTCCTTCAACCACTGAGGATCCTGTTCCTCAGGACGAAGATCCTCAACAACGAATCCAGTTTTCCTTCTAGCCTCCGCTTGTTTAGAAAGCCACTGAAAAGAATTACATATAAAACATAAAAAAAAATCAAGTTCTTCTTGCTTCTTCCTTTTAAAAAGAAGTCATGCAATTTTCAATTGAAGCAACGCAACGTACTTCCTGTTCTTCCGCGTGAGAACTCTCCCTAGCCGGAGTAGGAAAGACCCGCTCAGAGAAAGTTATATTGATAGTCGCGCTTTTTCTGGGAAGTGGAATCGTTTTGGCAGGTTCATCAAATATCTGGTTTATTCGAGAATATCGATTTTTCAATATTTTGTCGATCAAATCATGCTCTGATCTCTGTTTTTTCGTTTTTGCGAATTTTTGCAAGGAATTCCGATCCATTTTCTTGATTAAAGCATTCGTCGAAGACACCGTTTCATAATCCGACTCGGAATCTTCAGACGTGGAGCTTTTCTCGAGGTTAAAACTCTTCTCCTTTTTTTCAATATTTAATTCTTTTCTTAATTCTTTTTCAATAATTGACATTTCTTTCCGATTCTCTCTGTTAATCAACTCTTTCTTCGTATCCTCTGCAACTTCTCTCTTTGGATTTTTTACAACGCCTGGTCCATCCTTTAGTTCTTTTATTAATTCGTGCCTCTTTTCTACTTCAACTTCTTCATTCATTTTTTCTTTTGTGTCAATTTCCTCAGATTGCACGATACCAAAGTCATCCTTAAACCATTTAAGGGGACATCTTTCGGAAACAGAAAATGTTTTCATATAATTTTGTTTCATAGTGTTTCCAAAATGTTTTCTGTAATCGTTCACGATACCTGTACGCCTTTCTATTTTCTTGTGTCTTGCCAGAAATGTCTTGAAGGATCGGCATTTCCGCATTTGACCGCCATTCTTCAAAATCTTGCATTGCAGCTCTGCGATGAGAATCTCTCAAGGATTCTATTTTATTTAGTATATCGGTATCCAAATTAATCTGCACTTTTACTGCTTCTTTTTGCAGATGTTGACGTTTTTCTATAAACCAATGATTTGTGTAGACATTATAATTTGTTAATCAATGGCAAAACAAATGGCGACAAATGAATGATGAAGTAAAAAGATATTATCTTTCTTTCTATTCTTCTTGAAAATTTTAACTCTTTCCAACTACTTATTAATCACAAATCTTACCACTTTTAGATTTTGCACGACTTTCCGAAACGCTTTGTGCTTTTTTCAAAATTCGATTTCTAAGCTCACACTTCTGTTCTTTGCTAATGTTTTCCATCTCGAGGTTTGGCCATTTAGAAGGTTTTTCTTTTTGCAAAGAAAAAATAGCTTCAGTATCCGTCAAAGTACACTCACTTTCTTCTTCAAGCACATTTTTCCATAGAAATAATTCCAAAATAAAAGGTGGAAAACTAATCTTTAATAAAAGTCGATTATATCAGTCGTAGTAATCCGCAATGCTCACATTTTAACATATAAAAATTTCTTGATTATAAAAAATTTTGAACTAATTTTAGAGAAAATTCTTGATTTTGTAAATGTTTTTCTTTAATTTAAATAATTAAAGAACTCTTCTCTCCAACTTTGGAGAGAAATTTTTTAATTATTTAAACTTAAACATATTTTTTGAAAATGAAACAAAATAACCAAATACCTTTACGTAATTATCCATGGCAAATAAATCCACATTTTTAGGACAACCTTTTAGAGGTATGTAAATTATTATCTTCTTCTCTGTCTGTCGCCATTGATAATCCTTTATAACTATTATCGGCATGATTAAAGTTTTCGCAAATAATTCGCTCGATTCGATGCAACTTCTTTTCTCCTTTGCTGTACATACATACAAGTCCTATATAGCGTTGCGTAAAATATCGATCAAACAAATGTATCCACGTAACCATAAAATACCTAAACAAAGCAAAAATAATGAAATTATTAGCCTTACATTAAAAATCCAGGATAGACAGTAGAAAGATTCAAATTCTATGTATCGTACGAATTACTTTTAATTAAAACGTTCAAGAGTATTTGTTTTGACAATACTTTTCGTAGACATATTAAAAAGCTGCCGTTTCGCATGTACCTCCATTATCAATATCAGTATCATTATCATCATCTTCTCTTCATCGCTTCAAACACTTTCCTCTTCATGAGCAACAATCTCTAATCAATGGAAACATGTACATGACTCAAATCGTACACGATCCAACAAAAGCAATGTAGCAAAAGAGATAACGTTTTTTTCGAAAAAAATATGATCGACATGTTTTTCAGGTTCCAAGCATTTGTAATGTAAAATTAAATATATTACATTGCTCACTCACGATTAATCAAAATGCCAAATTGCGTCTATCATTAGCAGTATGCCGGTTTAAGTATTACTCTCTTGTTCCTGATTAATTAATTGCCACTGTCAAAAAATTACGCAACATAATTGAATAAAAATGGTTTACCAAGCGATTTCTAAAGATCTCAGCTGAATCTTGCGATTAAATTGGATCGTGTATGAGGCGCTCCTCGAAGTTACGTGGCTAAGTGATTCGTTGAAAGTTGGCTACAAAACTTATGATAAATCAGTCGGTTTTGTGAAGGGTCCATTCTTAAGGAACGGAAATACATAAATGAGAATCCGGAATTTGAGGATTTACATGGTCAAAGAGCAATAGGATGCCACGATCTAGATCTAACAAGTAACAGGAAATCCAATCAAGGATATAGCTACGAGTAAATAGCAATTCATCGATCGATTAAAACATTCAGATATTTGCGAATGCAATCTAGAAATCTGAACGTTAACGAAAGTTAAAAGATTCGCGTCCAGAGATCCAAAAAGAGCTCGGTAAGTAAACAATCCAAAGGTTTGAAAGTAAAAACTTAAATTCCAGAGATCTAAAGATCCGCAAATGGAACAATCTGATGCTTTCGGGTTTGAAACATCCCGGGATCTCTAGATCCAACGCTGAAAAAATCCTCAAAGCTCAAGATCCGACGATCCTTAGTAAGTATCGATTAAAGGAAGTATCGCAGGAAGTAAAAGCAACATTTCGTTACGGATAATTGAAGTGCGAAGGGATCGTTCCGTCGACGTCTCGTCAACGACAATCAACAGATTACAATTCTTATAAGAAACACGGATTAATTCATTCCCGTAGTTCGTTGTGAGTGTAACAACAGAAACAACAAGTGCGTGTCGCAGTAATGGAGGACTTCTATAAGGATTCACGATGAAAATGCAGAGGATTATGCCTCGTAAAGAGTAGCATTATGACACTGTAATCGGTTTTCTTTGTCGCTCCGCAGACTCACGCCACTCGCACACACGCACACGACTCATACATACATACATATTAATTGTCTCTCACCCGTCGTCATTATTAATCGTCGCTCAGTACATACGTATATTTACACATTATGCCCCAGAATTCAACATTTCTCCGACTGCTCGCGGCGAAGTGTGTCGAAATGTTCGAAATGGAGCGCGAAAAGTTCAATGCTATTATAAATAAGTACGCGTACAGTGGTACGCACGTCCTCGTCTCCGACGCGGTTTCGCGTCCGATCTCGCAGCCTTTCGCGTATTCAGGCTCTCTTCTTCGTGCGGGAGCAGCATTTGGCCACTTCGTCCTATCCGATTCGTGTGGAATGTACGACACTGAGTGTCCCAGCATTTACAGCTCGACGACGCGAAGGACTCATTCTCGAGTCTTTTTTTGCGAGCGTTTTGACAGTTCTGTGGGAAATGATTGAGGGGAGAATGCAAATCTGCTGACACATTTGGCTTAGTGCGAAAGGTATTGCTTTGAGCAAATTTGGAACGAATAAATATAAATTACAAAGAGATATGTTTCTTAATTACAAAGTAATTATAGCAAGTCTACAAAGTATACTGGCTGTCTCTGATCAATTTTATTTTTTCTCTCTTTTCCCATCATATTGCGATTAATCGCATTTCTCATGAAAAATATTGATAAGATAGAAAAGCCGATGATATAATATTGATATAACAAATATTACCGATGTTTCTTATAATTATAAATAATCTATTCATATTATATTTATATTCAATCGTTATCTTTTTGCTATTCAGTCAAGTGAGAAAAAATAAAAATTTGTACAATTATTCAGTATAGATATGAATTTTTAAAAGTTTAATATAATTGATCAGAGATGAACCTTTAATGAATAATTAATAATCAATTGATAATTCGTTGACGACGCATTATATAAAATCGAGAAAGAAGACAACGATTACGTTGAAACGTCTATCTGAAAGATCAATTCTTAATTGTGGGGAAAAGCGCCGTTAAACGCGATCATATAAATAAATACGGGAACAATGCTTACACAACTATACACACACACATACGTACATACACGTACATGTATGTATGCATCAGTATATATACTATATACGTACGTACAATTACAAAAGAGTGTATTTTTAAGTGACACGACAGTTTATTACACACTCTCCGCGCTCTAGCGGCCGACTAGCGGTAAAAGATAATTTTTTCTTTCCACAAAAGAACGGCATTTATTAAAGCAGAAATCGCGCAGCCGTTGTTTTTAGGGCTAAACGTGCAGCTAGAACGCGGCCGTTTAGCTAGATTGCTTGCTTTTTACACACATTCGCGCGCGCACATACACACACAAATACATACACACACGCGCACACGCGCACACACACACGTTCACCGTTAAATAGTATTAATAATTGAAAAAAACTTAATAGCGAAAGTATAATAAGTATGGCAATAACAAGTAAATGCAGAGGCGCAATACATGGCCCTTATTTAAGGAAACGAACTATGAACGGAAGTAGAGTATCTTGAAGAAAACGCCAGAATATACTGGGTGTCTCAAAAAGAGGTAATTTAATTTACCATTAGAAATTAACTGTAATAATTTTAATTATTAAGAGTCATATTGTGTTATTGTGCGCCCGATTATTATTAGGAAATAATTATAATTAACGAAAAACAATCATCCTCTTGATTAAAACCGATTAAAACTAAAAAGATTATCAAAAGTTAACAATAAGTTATTAAAATATAATTCTTTCAATTAAAATTAATTCCTAATAATAAATAATATTGAATTATAAAAAATTATCAAGGTCATTATTATTATTGTTAGTTATTTCAAATAATTCACAATCATAATTAAGTATAAATTATTCGCGATTAACTTAATATAAAAATTAATACTATAATTTTAATCATTATTAGGAATTATTTGAAATAATTATTTCAATTGTTATTACAAAAATTTTGCAATATAATTATAATATCTCAATTACTGTCTGGAACTCAATCATTAAATTAATTGTTTTAAAAGATAAACTGATAATGAATGTCAATATCAAACAAGCACAATTCGAAGGAATTGTTTGTATTAAATTCTTTCATTATCTTATCGAATAATACTTTTTTTAAGAACATGTAATTTTCTATGTGACACCCTGTATGAAAAATGGACGGCGTCATTTTTTTAGTTCTACATTTAACTTCTTTTTTCCTCAAAAATTTTCACAAAAAATAAATTTTCCAATTTTTTCCTAAAAATATATAACTCGTCAATGAATTCCGATGAATACTTATTATTAATTTTTTCGTCTACCTCTTTCGAGATACCCTGTACATCTCGCATTCAGAAAATTTGCATCGCCTTACCGGATGCTTAACTGATATCAAACGAATCTAGTTTATACGTAAGCTATTTTTTCCGCGCAGCTTTTTCCGCTTTTCGTCGCATTCGCTCGATTTCCTTACGCTCTTTGCGCTCACGATCGGCCTGGGCCCTTAATTCCTTCAGTTTGCGCTTCAAATGCGCTTTAGCTTCGCTGTAGATCCCCAGGGCCTTCAGTTCTCTCGATTCCAAACGCAGCAGGTTGCTCCCGTTAATGCCGCTCTCCAAAAATTGAGGAGAAAAGTGTTCCAAACCGATTCCCGTCAACCATTGGCAAACCTAAAAGAGAGCATTCTTCTTTTTAAGAAGATATTTTAAGAATATAATATAAAATTTTCCATTTTTCTTAAATATAAACCCAAGATAGTTTGTAGAACTAAGTTCTGCAATCTTAAATTATTTTGTTCAAAGAAATTCTAATACTCACTTGTTCTTTGGACCAATCAGTGACCGGCGCGTTCTGCCAAAAGTGAGACTTCTTGTCACCTAAACCAAAGTCGCTTAGGTGAGCGGGCAACCAAACTGTGCTCGAATCTACATTGATAATGCATGCATGATGGAAAGTAAGTAATTGGGGGGGGGGGGTGGATCTTATCACGCTATTAGTAATCACTCTAATCAGCAATTATTTTTTACCCATATAAAAAGCGAGATTATATTTGTAAGATAAAGCGTTATTAATTGCGTAGACGAATTAAAAGAGTAACTAACTAATTGAAGTATTTAATTCTATATCGAAATCTTTTAATACATATTGAAATTCTTTAATTCCTGATTGAGTGATCGAAGCGTTAGTGCCGAGACTGTATATCAATCCTTTGCGGTTTGAATTAATTTCGACGAATAAGTTAATAACAAGTAAGTTTTGTCTTAATTTTAAGGCTATCGGATAAAATAAATATAATAATTAACTATTGTTATCTAAAAAATTTTATAAAGATTAAAACAGTTTGAAAATTATAATTATTGCGTGGGATTGTTATGAAACACTATGTCGAGTTCATTCTGACAAAGGACTGCAAAGGGTTAATAAGTAGAACGGCTTCAGTACCTGCGATGCCAGTAGGATCGATTCCAGGAGGACTGATAGAACCGCCAGAGGATAAGCTTGACGGAGAACTTCCTGGATGATGCCAAGGCGCGCCTCCACTGCCGATCAAATTCGACGGAGGAATCGACACTTTTTTCACTGAAAAGTTTGATCGCAATATAATCCGATTATTACTATTGTTGCAATTAATTGTAATTGAATTAATGTATTTTCACCACAGTTTCTATTTTTATTCACCTCTTTGATTAGCCTCGTTAACAGCTTGTCGTATCTCCTCTACAAGATGATGCGTGACCATGGTCGGATCGTTATTATGAAGATTGAGATCGCTGAAGTCTCCGGAACTCTCTCTCGAGGAATCGTTTCCGCCAAGTCGTTTTTCTCTCTCGGCTAAGACCTGCTTCAGTTGCTCCGCCAGCGACGCAGGTGGTCCGGTTAAAGTTGCTGATAGGAAAACATTAGCGTTTTTTTTTCTTAAATATGTCAACGGAAAACTAGAATTAATTTATTAATTAACGCATTAAAGAAGAGGCATACTCTTCTGCGACTGAGGCCAGCTCTGCTCGGTCATCGCCCTGACTTGCGAGCTGATGGTGCTGTGCTGTCGGATCGCAGTAGGATGTATAGGATCCATGTGCGCCTTGCCTTTAAGCGAGCTGATGGACGAAGTGCTGGAGTAGGAACTCAGGTTGGACTGCTTCAAGTCGTTGGGCGACCTGCTGTCCTGCGAGGTGAGTTTCGACGAGGAATCATCATCCGTATTGTCGCCCGATTCGTCCAGTCCGTAATCCTAAAATTACAAGATTCGTTAATCATGCAGTTTCATCGTTAAAAAATCTTTTCGGTATTTAACAATTAACTTAATTTTATTGTTTCTTTTTTTTTGTTAATTTTTAAGACTTGTGCTCCACAGTGCATTGTCCAAGATTATAACATTAAGGCTACAAAACACTGATATAAAATAAATTACACATAAAAAGATACGAAAAATAAGATACATAAAGTGTACAAATATATTTTTTAAATTAACATAGAATCAACATAGAATACGTGAAACTATCGCCTAACAGAATATGTATATATGCCATACACAATACGCCATGCATCTTAATGCAGTGTAGACAGAGAGAAAAAACAAGGAGAATCTGTGAAGAAAAGCATGTTAAAGTATAAATAAAGATAATAAGCGCGAATAATCCCTCAAAATGTATCTTTTGTTAATCATAATGTTGTGTATCATAATTATGACCGTTAATGGATTAATGGACGAGAGAGCGGAAACATACAGAACTGCTGTTGCTGAGACCTCCAGACCGCTTTGGCAGCTGGCGATTTGCCAGACCGCCTCTGCTCGCCAGCTCCGCCTTACTCTTGCCGGCGGAGTTGTCCAGCAGACGATGGGCCGGTACAGCGCGATCCAGCTCCTCCTTCACCGGCAACGGTAGTGGCAGTTTTCTTTCGACAGTAGCAGTCTTGTCGCCATCGTCTGGGCTGCTGAGATCGGAGGTCTCCGTGTCGGAGAGTTGGCAGCTGCTCGACGAAGGCGGTGGCGGCAGTTGCCTGCGAGAGAGCTGCGGTGTTACTATCCTGGCAGTGGCGTTATCGTACGGCAACCGTACCGGTAGACCAAATCGCCTTTGTGTCTCCGTCAACTCCACCTCTAGCGTGATCACCTGGAATAATTTTTTTTTTTTTCGTTCCAAAACAGCTGCTCTTTCCGAAATCGAATTGTTCATCAAACCTCCGGTTTCAACTCGTTACATACTCTGTCCTTTAAACTCTTCACCAGCGCGTTGTACTCTGTATCTTTTTCCTGCAACAATTGCTGGTAGAACTCATCGCGAGCCGTGATGTCCGCTCGCAGCTCCCTGGCGGCTCTCCTGGCCCTGGCGTACTTCTGTTGCATGACCGCGTTCTGCGCCGTCGCCTGGGCCAGCATTTCCCGGGCCGTCGACAGATCCTGGCGAGCGGTGCCCAGCGCTCTCTCCGACTCGTGGAGGCGTAATCCCGATTCTCGCAGCTTAGCCGCATACTCCTCGCTGCCTGCTCCACTGTTTTCCAATTCCACCAGCTGTCCAAGATAAAAAGGTTATAACATAACGTTGACGCTACAAAACACTCGTATCAAATAAATTGTATGTAAAATGATACGGAAAAATAAGATACATGAAACGCACGAATGAATTAATATAGAGTAACGCATAGACACGTTAAACTATCACCTTACAGAATACACGCCCATACACAATATGCCATGCATTGTTGATGCAGTGTAGACAGGAAGAAAGGCATGTGAAGAAGAGCACGTTAAAGTATGAGTAAGAATATATGATAAGCACAAATAATCATATATATATAAATCTCTTTTCTTATTCTTCTAAAATATATTTTATACTTAACGTTAATCTTCTACATTACGTTAACGTTACCCACTAAGCAAAATATTAACGGTATGGTGTAGCAGTGTGATAGCAAATCAGAATATTCCGGCAAACTGCGTCCGCATTAAGCCCCTGTTGCGCAGGCAGCCTGTCGACACAACTTGAAATCAGATCGATAGCAAAAATCAAACAGTGCTTATTTTGTTTAAACGAAATATTTCCCATACTTCGTTAACAAATTCCTGCTTCAAATTTCTGCTAACACTCTGCCGTGAAAATTTGTAGCACTGTCGATAGACTCCCCTATTAATTCAAGCAATTATAACGAATAAATTATTGCAATTAATTATTTATGAATAACTGTTATAATATTACGTTACCTTTGCTTTGAGCTTTTCGACTTCCTCGTCTGCTAATGCAAGTTTATATTGACTCTGCAAGCAACCAACGACACGCATAGTGCATAAGCGAAACAAAAATAAAAGAAAATCAATAAGTACACACTGTGCAATTGAGCAGTGAACATTTATCATATATACAAACGCGCGTAGATTCTTAACCTACACATACATACACACGCACACACATAAAACATGGACAAAAATATGTACAAAATGTATGCGTTATATATCGTAAAAAAATAACTGCTAAAACGTACAACATTAATCTAGAGACTATCTAGAGACAAAACTGACAAACACTGCATGTACACGTTGAAAAAAATTAGAAACTTACTAAATTAATTTTCTAAAACAAATACGAATAAAACTGGATACACTATAAAAGATAACATGTAAGCGCACAAAATACCTCTTGCAAGAGCTGTCTCAGACTATCCACGTCGCTTTGGGTGGTAGCAACGTGCGCTGGCATGGACGAGCTGAGTATCGGAGATCGGCTGCGACTAGAAGGCGACAGGTAATTCTCGATAGGGCTGTGAGGTGGTTCCCCTTCCGAGCAGGAGGACATCGCCGGCGAACCGGGGATTCCGCTCATCCCGCTGCCGATGGAGATATCCTCGCTCCCTCGTTGACCGTCGGGAGAAGCATCGGAGAAGTTGAGCTTCCTGTTTGCAAATATTAAGTTCCTTTCTCTCAATGTTGGCTGAAGTACGATTTACGTAACAGGAAATTATGCAGTTTGCTATAGAAATTGCGATTCCCTCAGCACTCCAAGATGCCTCGAGCTATCGTTAGAGTGGCCACCATGTGTCGTCACGGAATATTTGCGAGCAAGGATAAGTCATCATTGGGAACGCAGCAAAGGTAAAGTGTTTGAAAATTTCAAGTCGCGAAACATGATAAAAGTATCATATATTTTCTATAAATAATTCAATCTAACTCTTATGAAATAAATGTAAATTATCATATTTAATGTTGTATAAAATTGATCAATATGAAAATAATAATAAACAATAATTAGATAATAATTATTAAACTATTTAAAATAAAAAAACAAATCACATAAATATTTATATATTTACCTATTAGCAGCGTTCGCCAGCTCCCTTTCTTTATCAGCCTGGAGACTTTGCCTAATCAGCATCGCCACTTCCGAGTTCTTGGGATCTCTCTCCCTGCCAATGACAAATCGCACAAGACCGGAAGTGTTCCTGAGCACGCTGGCGGCATAAGCTTGTGTCACGCCGACCAAACTTTTGCCGTCAACCTCGACGATCTGGTCGTTCACTTGGATTCGCCCTTCGCGTGCAGCTGCCCCCTTCTCAGTAATTGTCTTCACGAAGATGCCCAGTTTCTCGAGACCCGCATCAGCACCAACGCCCATCCCGATGATGCTAAGGCCTAGACCTTCTGGACCCTTCATCAGTTCCACCGGAAAGACCTAGTTTTTTTTTTTTTTTTTAATTAGTTATGGAATGTTTCAAAGTGTATTTAATATAAAATTAAATGTTATTTAGCATTACCTCCATTTTTTCAACGCGTTTCTCTAGCTCGTACTCTGCGCTGGCGGCCACAGGATCAACATCCTCATTGCGACGGTCGTATTCATTGACAGAATGCGTGGAATAAACGCGCATCGGGCCGGTGTCAAAAGACACTTTCGTGATCTTCTTGATAGGTACAGTGGACGGATAGTCCTCATCGTCTTCGTCGGACTCCGGAATTCCCGCCACCTCCATCCAAAAGTGGCCATCCTCGAAATAATGCACACCATTCTCTACGAGTATCTGAAAAATCACAAGCCAAGTTAATGACGCTTACATCTTAATTAATAAAAAGATCAGAAAATGAAATTTTTTATATACAGAAACGAATGTAAAAAAGCTACATGTTGTTTTTCTTAATAAATATTTTTTTTCTCAATTTGCATTTCTCTTCCAATTTCTTTTTACTAATTTAAGTTATTTTTTATTTAATCTAATTGAGAAAAGAAACAAATAGAGCTTTATTATTACAATTTTTCCTGGAATCGGAACGTAGTCGTCTTGTTGCTCGGTTTCAGTATCGTCGTTAGCTTCCTGAGTGTCGTTTAAGCTGCTGACGGAGCCTAGCAGTCCGCTCTCGCTTCCCGTCACTGATCCTACTTGACTTTCGGTTAACGAGTCTATCGTCAGGTCGCTGCGAGATCTGTGAGACAAACTAAAGTAAGAAGAGATTTAATAACGACGAATTTAACGAGTGATAAAAATTGATAAAAAAATTAATTACGTGTATAAATCTGAGGATTCTAGAAGTCTGAGAAATTTTGATTTTGAGAGATTTTGAAAAAAGTTCATAGATTCAGTTGAAAGATTTAATTGTTTAAGAATTGATACGAATTGAAACGTTTAATATCCAAAAAGTGTTCGACAGATTAAAGTCCAAGAATCTTATAAGCTTCAAGAATCCAAAAACAAGGAGTCTAAAATCCAAGAATTCAATGTTTAAAATCATTCAGAAGAAATTCATCAAGAAGAAACAAAGGATGAAAATACAAATGCGAAAAATTGAGGAAAAGACGCAACGAAATGACTTAAAAAAAATAAGCTCGTTCACCTATAATCATGAGTGGCGCTATTGATAAGACTGGAATCAGGAGCAGACAGGACATCGGACAGCCAGTCGGGCGTGTTGTCCTGGTCGTCTCTATCCCTGTCCTGTCCTTCCTTATCCTTGTCATTAGAAATCCCGTCACCTACTGCACCATCAGCACTGGTAGGAGACAACAGCCTCGCTATCTCCTGTGCTTCCTCATCCGATAGTAACGCCGAACCTTGTCTAATTTACGTTCACGAGTCATTCACTTGGCTTTACGAACGTATTACGTGATTGCTGATAGCGAGTCGATTGTGCAATCGAATGGCAGAAGCAGTTAGGTCGATTAAATACATTCTTCATTTACGAGATGCCTCGATATTATTTTCTATTATTATTAATATTCAGTATCTAGAGGTTTTTATGGAAAAGTAACTTATTATGTAATATTTAATTGAGATTTCTTTATATTTAGCAACTCATTAAATCTTTTATCGCTTAATATTTATATAATTGAGAATATGACAGTCTTCTTAAAGTATGACAGCATTATTAATCTTCGATGACATATCTGCTTCTGTTATTCGATCACAGAATTCCAGATGTACTCACCTGATCTTCTTCTCTAAGATGCTGCACGGACCGAGGCAATCGGCAGATTTGCATTCAAATAAACACGAACGTATTAGAATCGAAACGAAAGAAAATAAAGTTATTAAGCGTCAAATGAAAAGTTAAGCTGCAAAACAGCAGCAAAAGAAATCTCTTGTACCATGAAATATAAACGACACGCTAAAATGCAATCGCTGTTTCCGAGCGCAATGGTTACTGAGTTACTAGGTTCGCTAAAAGCGTCTTCCAAAGACAGCGTCTCATTCCAAAAATCTATCTTTCTCTATCGATATTAATTTTCAAGGAAATTAAATATTCCAAAAAAATAGTCACTCGTTCGACAAAAACTTGTTGGAAAAACTTCAAGTGCAATCTATACACCGACTATAGAAACTCCTGTTTTTACTCACGGAATACTTACCGAGAGCTCAACAGATTCTCCGCCTCGTCCGGCGTCATGGTGTCCGGTGTTACAGGGGCGATATGATTGGCACTGGTCTTCGTGGGCGTCTCGGCGACTTCGGCGGAGCTATTCTGCATCTCTATCGTCGCGCAATCCGCATTGACGATGGTCTTCGTGTCGCTGGAATCACTGTCGTCGTGTTGACTGCTCTCCGACGCAGAGTGTTCGATGGATTTCCTGCCGGAATGTCGCTGCGAGAGCACGCTGGACGCCGGTGAGGCGTCCTGATTGTAGTTCTCCGACAGCCTGAGCTTTGCCAGCTCAGCTTTCTGCTTCTCCTGCTCCCACGTCGTCTGCGGCTGCTCCATGCTCTCCAGCCTCTTGCTCAGAACGCTGTTCACCGCCGCGATGCACTCCTTTCTATTGCTGATTTCACATTTGCCCACCTCCGTTATGTATTTCTCTTCGTCTTTGCCCTCCTTCGCGATGAGTCCGAAATTGTTGATCTCTTGACCGCGACTGTTGTCTTTGTCCATACTGTCGACCTTGCTCTCCGCCTCGACGAAGCTGGAACGCTTGCCGGAGACCTCCTCCCTGTTCTTCGCGATCTTCTCTTTCACACTGATTTTAATTTGATCGTTCTTCGCGTTCGAGACTGTCTTCTGGCATAAGCCATCGTTACCGGGCTTTGCCTTCGCCTCCAGCGCAGTTTCCGTCGAATTCATCTTTATCACTTCCGTGGCGTTGCTGTGATTCTTCGTCTCCGTGCTCGGCTTTGATTGAGTCTTGCACTCGGTATTGTTCTGCGAAACGGTCTCCTCACTCTGCTGCAGCTTTTTCGCGTACGGAGAGGGTATAGGGATGTTTTTGTGTTCCAGCGGCGGATACTCTTGATCGGAACTGATGACGGAGGGTGGACGTGGGCCCAGACCTGCAGCCTGAAGATCAAGGCGTACATGGGAACGCCGAATGACCGTGGTCGTGTCTGTTTCATTGAACTTGAATTGGTCTTTCTCGGAGAAACTCTCCATGTCCGAGACGCAGCTCTGGTACGTAGCCGGCTTCTCCTGATCCTCTGTTTCCAAGTCATAGCTGTTGCGACCTTGATTTGAAAAATACATGACATTAAAAATACTGGGATTAAATTGTTTTGAAAAAAAAAAACAAAAAAAAAACATTTAAAATACCTCCACAATCGATGCAAAGTAATCGCAGACACATAACTTTACGTTTTTCTGGAGTACGTCGGGCTCCAATAAGTATAAAAATTTTGATTGTACAAAATGTAGCACAACGTTTCATAAATGAACGCTATTATATTCTTGTATACTCTGTCAAAAGATTACACATTCACACGGAGAGTCTAACTTTTAGCTTGGTTAAACAAACTGTGACACAAACTCAGTTTTACATTAAAAACATAGATTATCCAACGTTGGTTAATATAATTTTAATGAATTATATTTTATTTAATTCAACTTCTTCAATTTTTTATTAGTTCATTAATTCAGTAAACAAGAACATTCGAAATGAAATTCTGCTTACAAAATTATATACATTTCTTCCTCAATAAATTATTCAAAAACTGTCTTACTTTTCTATATAAATATATATTTATCGATAAACTAATATTTTTATTTTTATTTTCTATTTTTAGAAATTTATATCACATGTATTATAAAATTTTTTACAAACTGATTTTCATATTTACAAAATGCATCATAATTCATTCGATTGTCAGAGAAGTCACTGCAATGATCAAAAATATATTTAAGGCACAGCATTGATGATTTCCAAATTTCAAAATTCTGTGAAAAGCCTCAGAGACACTTTTGCAACGTAAACGCGAGGCACGAGCGTTTGGCTGCTGGACAAGCCACACAGTGATTTCTATAAATAATACCAATGGCACACTGGTAGGAGGAGGCGGCAGAGCAAGGGAAGGAGAAAAGGGGAAAGAAGAGGGGCCACGTCTGGTACTTTTACTTTTTGGCACTTTGGCGTACTGCCATGCCAGCCCACGACAACGAAAAATCACCTGGCTTCGTCAACAGTTTCGCAAAAATGTAAGAGTTTAACTTTCCAAGCAATTCTTCATCATAAATGTGTTTCAAACATAATAAATAAATATAAATAAATCAATATATAAAATTAATAATTAAAATCACACAAATTTATTCACTATTACTTTTCTCTATCGTCTTTTTCATAGTTTCTCAATAATTATTTTTTAAATTTATTAATATATTTCTTCCACTTGAAAATAAAGATTCTTGATCTCGCAAAGTTTCATACATTTTTTCTGCGAATCTAACTTACCTGTCTGATGTTTCTCCGACATCTCCTTCTCCGCCTTCTCCTCCTTGCTGTCCTTGGAAGGTGAGCTAGGCGAGCTCATGCTGGACGAGGCACTGTCGGTGCCCGCGGACGGCAGACCCAGTTCGGATTCCGGGGAACGTATCTGCTCGGTTCTCTTGTCGTCCGGTTCTCGGTTCTCTTTCCGTTTCGCGGTTGCGATCGGTCTGGCCCAGTCGGGTCTCGGATCCGGCCTGACCACTTCGCCGCACAGTTCCGTCTCTAGAGCTTCCCGCGACGAAGACTTCAGGTCTTTCAAGTCCACGGTTCTCTTCAAGATCTCGTCGTTCTTCGCCAGCCACTCGTTACGCCATTCGGAGGTCTTTGCCGGCGAATGAATCGGACTCGGTGGATAGTTCAGGTATTCCGGCGCCTCCAGCAGATCGCTCTCTCTCCTCGTTAGAATGTTGTCCATCGAGGCGCTTCGAATTGGACTAGAAACCTCACACTGCAGCACCACCGATGGCTTGGTTTGCCCGGACGACTCGTTCGCGGCAGTTTTCAAATTTGCAACTCCTTCTGCAGCTGCTGAGCCTTTTGCGATTTCTTTCAAATTTTCCGCGGGCTCCTCCTTCGAGTCTTCTGGCGGCCTGGTAACCGTAGTTCTGATTACTGGTATATTCTCCGCAGCTGCGGAAGTCTTCGAGGTCTCTTTCGTGCTCTCCGTTGGTCTTGAAACCGCGCTTTTATATCCTGCAGTTCCCTCCGCGACTAATGGACCCTTTAAATTTTGTGTAGTGGTCTTGGAAGCTTCTTTGATGGCCTCCGCTGATTTCGAAATCACAGTTTTGTTCCCCGAAACTACTTCCGTAGTTGTTGAACTCTTCGAATGTTGTGCGGCAGTCTTGACAACATCCTTGGCACCATCAGTTAACTTTGAAGTCACAACTTTACTGCCTGGAGGTGGTCCAGGAGTTGCCGCGCCTTTCAAATTCTGTGCGGTAAATTTGGAAGCCTCCTTGGAGCTATCTGCTAATTTCGAAGCCGTCTTCGAGGGGTTCTTCTGGACAACGGCGTATTCCGGCAATGCGGAGTCCTGATTCATCTCGGCGCCACCATCTTGAATCTCCTTCGAACTGTCCTGAGGCTTCTTCGTCTTTTGCACAACGGCATACTCCGGAATCGTCGGCGAGATATCGTCAAATCTCTCTACCGTCGCGTACTCCGGGCTCTCCGGCAAATCAGACGGGCTGACGGCGGCGATGCTAGCCGGCCGTTCCCTCCTGCCAGCTGCGGACGAGTTCCTGACAGGCGGAAGCGGCGGCGGCGGCGAGCGCGCCGAGCAGAAGCTCGCTGACCTGATGGCTGGACTGGCGGAGTCGTTGGCCGTCGAGCTCGTTGTGCTTTGGTACCCGTCGACGGAAGTCGATTGTTTGATCTGACTCTGGGTGTTCTGCGAGTTCAGAGACGTCTGCACCAACGAGCGGTTCGGGTCGGAATTGTAGCGGCTTGGCCTGGTCTTGGAAAAGTGGCTGGTCCAATTCCGTTGCTTCTCGATGAGTTCCTTTGAATTCGGCCGACGCTCCGGTTTTTCCGGCCTCTCCGGACGGTCGTTTTCCTTGCCGAACGTTCGCTCGGACTTACTCAGGCCCGCGCTGGGACGCCGCTCTGGCGCGCAGTGGCCATTTTCGAAATGCCGTTCCGCATTCAAAGCTGGCACGCTGGCGCTCCACGTACTCAGATGCTCGCGGCTGCCAGGAGGAGAAGGGGAGCGGGGACGGGGTGATCTCGCCGGCGAGGTGCACCCGGAACCCGAATTCGCGGAGCTGGAACGTGACCGAAGGCCGTGTAAATTGTTCGGCTTCGTGACCCGTTCCACTCTGTAAATAAAACGAGCGAGAGAATTAGTATCGCGAATTAAAAAATTTTGATAACAGAATATAATTTTGTAGTAATAATATAATTAAAGGCGAGAAAAATTAATTTCATCATAATTCACAAACTGATGGATAGATAAAATCAAAGATCACAATTCAAAAACGTAGTTGATGAAATTCATAATTAACAAAGTTAAGCGAAAGAATATAATTGCATAAGATAAATTTTTATGATTCGCGCAATATACTAACGGTCTGTTTGATTTGTTTTCCTCGCCAAGTTTCTCAAAGAGAGCTCGAGCATTGTTGAAACGCGCCACATGACTCTCGGTTCTGACCACTGTTACTTGCGTCGGAGACTCTTTCAGCGGAACAGTTGGCTCCTTAAATCCATCCGACAGAATATTGTTCGTCCTATGGCTCAGATTATCTAGTTGCGGCTTGGACTGGAAGATGTTTGCGATGGCTGATACCTTGGAGCCACCCACTCGCTTCTTTTCTTCTATTGCTGCCATATTTGGCGCAAACTTGAACAAAAGAGCGAAAAGAATTAATATATCTTCAATTATTTTGTAATATTATCTTCATAATTTAATTTATCTAATAAAATTTTAACATAAAATCTTTCTTTCCTTAACAAAACATTGTGAGATGTTGGCAGATCTTTTTAATTAAGAAACTTTGTGTTAACAAAGTAATTGTACTAAAATTTAATAGAATATTTTACTTACTTAACTAACAATAAGTATGCGATAATTATGTATAAGTGTTAATCATTCAAGCGTTTCAGCCCATTGTCATTCATATACATTCAATGTGCTTCATTGCAGCAACCTGTAAAAGAAATAAATTGTTAGATTTGTAGGCTGATTAATTATAATTAAATAGTAATTAATTAATAGTAATTAAAAAGTAATTAATTAAAAGTAATTAATAGTAATTAAAAAGGAAGAGTTAAAGTATTTAGATACATGTACAGTGATTTACTTTTCTAAGTACACACAATTAATTAATTTCTTCAGTTTTTAAGTATTGTTTGATAAAACTAATTTTTTTCTTATTTCCATTTATTTTATGACTCTTCAATAAATTTTTAATTGTATGTATTAGCAATAATCTTTGTAATTTATATTCAACTAAACAAAGTTGCATATTTGGAAATAATTTCATAATTAGAATTCAGTTAAAAGAGTAATAAAATTTCATTCTTTTTGCATTATATCAAAGAACATATATTTTATGCCACTATTATCTATAGCTATCACGTATTAGCACAGTCAATTGGATTTCCTGACCTTTACAGAATTTGAACACTCGCTTCCTTAGAAAATTAATACCATAAGCTTTTTCTCGCCCCAAAATTTATTTTAAAAATATTTTATCTCTCCCATTTGTCTAGAATATTTAAAAAATATAACAAAAATGTATAAAAATAAAATATTAAAATAATATCTTTAAAAATATCAAAATAAAAATAAAAAGAAACAATGTATAATTAAGTCTCATAGAATAAAGATTAATTTTGTTACAAATAAGTTAAATTATATATAAAATTATATAGTTTATATACTAATTACGCTTTGATAAATAATAACGTATTTGAACAATTTTTAAAGATAAATATTATACTTATCACAATTTTCAAGATACATATATAAATCGTAATAAACAAAAAGTGTGTTACTACAACTTATAAATTGATACTCCTAAACATTTAGTATTTATAACAAATAAATTTTGTAAAATTTTTTTAAAAAGTTATGTTGTATATTTATGATTTTTTTTATATGTTTATGCATATATATGTTATTCATATTTAAAAAATTATAAATTATTATGCATATTAAAAATGAGAACAAAAGGTGAATGGCAGGCATAAGGTATAACACATAATAGGTGGGTCTGCCTTGTCTGGGCTTCAACCCTCCTCCCATAGCACACCATGCTGCTGCAATCAATACTTGAGTGCTATCCCTATGGTAGACAGATGTGAAAAGAGCTGCAAGTTTGCTTCGCTCGTGTGGTCACATAATTGCTTACGTGACAGTGGATAAATTTATAACTGCTTGTAATGTATTGAATAGTATTTGTTATGGAGTTCATTCACACAGTGTTGTTATCTAGGTACATTCTAGGTATCTGTGAATGTATCTAGATATTTGAAGTTTGATAAATATAAATGTATCTGTATATCTATGTACAAATCTTTCTATGTTTTGAATTAATTAACCTAAGAAATTTCTAAGAATTCTTTTACATGTTATTTGTTCAATAGAATCAGAGTAATAGTGACGAAAGTTATTATAATTATCATGTATATTCCACAATGTTAATAATAATGCATAATGTGCTTAATATTAATTAAATCACACAACTTGTAATTTAGTTTTGTTATAAAAAATGCAATTGCTAAATATTACACTTAATATATGCAAAATTTATTATATGATTTTTATAATCCTTTAATCAATATTTCAATAAAAATATAAGTGTATGGACTAATTCAGACAATGGAGCATAAAATAAAATTGTAAATTAAATAAATATGCAAGTTGTGTAAAAGGATTAAAAATTGTATTACAAATTAGTATAATTAATGTTCATAAAAATATAATAAAATATAAGTTAATAAAATAAACTAAATGTAATCTTAAAATTTATGAAAACTCAATATGCAGTTCATGATATTTTGATCAACATAAAACTTCAATTACAAACAATCTTATGACTTTACTCAGAGCATAAAAATGTATATTGACAGAATTAATGAGATATATTTGATCTTTAAATTCACCAATCTTATAGCTCCATTAAATAGAAGTTTCTTCAAGTTAGCAACAATGATCAAAATACAATTGTTAGATAATTCCAATATCACTTCTATTAAAATAAAAACGATATCGCAATATAGTCCAATGCACATCAACAAGACTAAAAATAAAATATGATTTTTAAATTCATCAATAACACAGCTCCATTAAACATGTTTCCAATAGCCAGTAGACTCAATACTCACAGATTGTTGAACAGAATTTTACAATCAGTCCAGTCAAAATATCAATAGTAATACAGCAAAATGCTAATTAACACAACAAGATGCAATATTGAGATTCACCAATTTTATAACTGGATTAAACAAAACACCTTCCCAATCGCCATTACACCCTATAGACACCCCGTAAAAACGTCGCTTTAGCGAGCTCGCTGAGACTCCTTCGGGAACGTCGTGATCAACGACGTCGACTGGAAGGTGTCGAGCTTTACTGCCGCGACATGTTTCCACGACAAAATTAAGTACTTTCGAAACTGACCCGGAAGACGATGTCACCATGTGCGCGCGAGCATCTCTCTCCGTCGGGCGAGCCGCACAACTTCGCACGATTCCGCTCGGCGGCGCTTCGACGACGGTTTACGGTCGCCGCGTCGCGTTTTCTTGCGATGCCGACAGCCGACGCAGCCAACGAGTTTTCGGCGTGCCGTTTCGCGCTGATTAATGCGCGATTAGGACATTCGCCATGTCCACAGGCGGCGAATTGGCCGCGACGTCGGTCTCGTCGATTCGCGTTCTGCACGCCTATCAATCGACGTTTCACGACGAACAATTCCACATCGCGAGCTGCCGGACGGACACTGCCCGACTGTGTTGACCACGGTGGAAAATGAATCAAGATGGTCAACTGCAATGTTATTTTAAATATGGCGACGGTTTAAATATTAGGAATTTTTTGCTTCTAATATTGGCACTTCTGTAATCTTTATTGTAAACCTGTCACAAGAGTCGTTTTATGAGAAGTAGACTTTAATAAGACGTTTCATGAGAAGTAGATTTAACAGAACGCGAACCGGCGATGCCGGCCGTTGTGGAGCGATTTATTCGGTAAGATGGCGGCTACCATAAACGGAGTGTTTTGTGAGGAATTGCGTGATGCGATTTTACACAGCAAAGTGCTTGTCGTGGGTGCCGGTGGTATTGGTTGCGAGATCCTGAAGAATCTTGTTATGTCTGGATTTGCCGATATCGAAATCGTAAGTGTACAATCTCCAAAATATGTGATTTAACCTTACTTTTGCGTACTTACGCGCGATTTACGCGCGTAGTAAGTGCCTGTATTTCTCTTTTCTTTTCACTTTTGTATAAATATATATTATAATAAATAATGAATTTTAGTTTGTATTTTACTGATTAATTAATTAACTTTTCGGTTTTTTTCTTTATTTTTATATTTTTTTATAATTAATATTTAAATTCTTAATATTTATATTCAATAAAGTTGTGATTGTTTTTCAGATTGATTTGGATACGATCGATGTAAGCAACTTAAATAGGCAGTTTTTATTTCAAAAAAAGCATGTAGGAAAATCAAAAGCTAGTGTAGCACGAGAAACAGCATTAACATTCAATCCAGATGCTAAAGTGACACACTATCATGACAGTATCACATCGTAAGTTTATTTCAATTCTTTTACTTTCCTTGCTAATGCTGATGACTGCTTCCATCCAATATTTTAATCTTTTGTATGCTTACAGATCAGACTTTGGTTTGTCTTTTTTCAAAAGATTCTCTGTGGTTTTGAATGCACTTGACAACAGGGCAGCTAGAAATCATGTGAATCGTATGTGCTTGGCAGCAGATATACCATTAATAGAATCTGGTACTGCAGGTTATGAAGGTCAAGTTGAGCTTATTAAGAAAGGCCTGAGCCAGTGCTATGAATGTACTCCAAAGGCTGCGCAGAAAACTTATCCTGGCTGCACTATTCGCAACACACCCAGTGAGCCTATTCATTGCATAGTGTGGGCCAAACATCTTTTCAAGTAAGATTATAATCTGTATTAGAAGATAGTTTACATTATTACATATTAATTTAATTTATGCTTACCTCGTAATTTATTTATATCACTGAGAATTGATTTTTTGCATAAGATCAATGAAAATTTATTTGATAGACAATTATTTTTATATGATTTGTTTTATCATAAACATTGCAGTCAATTATTTGGAGAGGAAGATCCTGATCAGGATGTTTCTCCGGACACAGCGGATCCTGAAGCAGCTGGTAATATATAGCGCCATACTGTAATATAATCAGTACAGTTATTAACAAATCTATTTTTTCATAATTTATTATTTATTATTTTTTTGCCATTTTATTAATTAATCATTGATGTTTAAAAGACCAAAAGTGATAAATAAGTTATATAGAATTTTAATATTGCAGATACAGCGGGAGAAGAAGCTTTACAAGGGAAATCCAATGACAAAGGCAATATCGATAGAGTGTCCACGCGAGTTTGGGCTCAGTCCTGCGAATACGATCCAGAGAAACTGTTCACAAAATTGTTTCATGATGATATCAAGTACCTATTAAGCATGGATAACCTGTGGAAGAAGCGCAGACCTCCAACACCATTGAATTGGAGAGAGTTGCCAGATGGAGGTTCGCCATTATTTCACAAATATTTTTTTTTTTTTATCTAACAGATATTAATGTTTTATCTTTTTACAGTGGCTGGATGCAGTAAAGAAATCAGTCAACCTGGCCTAAAGGATCAACAACGCTGGAGCATTTCCAAGTGCGGTTCTATTTTTGCGGAATCGATGAAGAATTTGAGTCAATCGTTGAAAGTTTCGTTGGAAAAATCACCGGATAATTATCTGGTTTGGGATAAAGACGATCAGCACGCTATGGATTTTGTCGCCGCGTGCGCCAACATCCGTGCACACATCTTTGGAATTTCTCAGAAGAGCAGATTCGATATTAAATGTTAGTAGCAGTAATAACTCTTTTTATAGTTGATTTTTCTTTTGTAGTTTCTCTTGTCTTGAACGTGTTAACATACATTTCTTTCATTTCAAATTTTCATTCTTACACAATTCCTCTTTCCACTGTTTAGCAATGGCGGGCAACATAATTCCAGCGATCGCTACCACCAACGCTATAATCGCGGGCATGGTAGTCCTCCATGCTTTCCGAGTACTCGAAAATAATCTGCAAGCCTGCAGATCCGTTTATCTGCGTCTGAAAATGAATCATCGCAATCAACTGCTGGTGCCTGAAAAGGCGGTGAATCCGCCCAATCCTCAGTGCTATGTTTGCGCACCTACTCCGCAGGCCGTGCTGGCGGTCGACACCTCCAGCATGACTATTAGGGAATTGGAAGAGTTGGTTCTCAAGAACAGACTCAATATGATTGCACCTGATGTTATGATTGATGGCACAGGCGCCGTTGTCATCAGCAGCGAGGAAGGCGAAACAGAGGGCAACAATGACAAAAAGTTAGAGGAATTGGGGATAAAAGATGGAGCGATTCTCAAGGTCGACGACTTCCAGCAGAATTATTCGTTGACTGTCTTCGTAGTTTATCGGGAGAAACCTGGTCCAAAGGACGATAGTCCACAATTTTTGATACTGGCTGATAAGAACGCACTTAAACCTCAGGAAGTAGAAGAAGAGGAAGAAGATAAGACAGAAAAACCTTCGACTTCCAATGGACAAGTAAGTGAGATTACTTTAAGAGGTATCTCTTGTGATTTTATATTGATTATTATATATATTTAATTGCTAAAACAAACTTTGCAGAACGTGAGCGATACGCCGGATGCATCTAAAAAACGCAAAAATGTGGCAATCAAAGATGTTGCAGCCAAGAAGCGCAGGGTAGAAGTTGATAACGCTGATGATGATGATATCTGCGTTATCGACAATGACGTGCATCATGATAATTCTTCTAAGATAAAGAATTTAACGTTGAGGAAGCGGAAGGTTTCCGAAGATACTGATTGCTTGATAGTGTGTGAGGATGTGCATAGCGATTAGCTGAAAAAATAACATACCTTCGTATTATAATACGTTTATTAATACGTTCATTAATGATACGTTTCAAGGTAATAAAGCGAAAGCAAATCCGAAACATTTGAAATTTAGATCAAAGTAAAACTTAAAAGGATGAAAAAGATTTTCCAGATTATCGTTCACGAGATACATATTATAATCAAATCTAATCATCTCTAAAATGTCTCATAATTTTTATTTACTTCTGAATCCTATTTTCTTTTAAATCTCTCTTATTCTTTTAAGTTAGCGGAAAAAAACTTTTATTTTTATTAGAAATATCCGTGATTGATATATTACAATATTAAACAATTATGTGGAACAAATAATTTAATTTTATACATTGATAAACACATTGTATTATAAGTATTATTACTATTGTCATAATATTAATTATATAAATAGATTCTCTTTTTTGCTATATTAAGACGTTATTAATTAATGTATCTGTCTAATCTATTTAGTTAATACTTTAGTTAAATGTTTTACAGCATATCTATTACATTCAAATAGATATTTCTGGATTAATCATTGATTTCTGAAGAGTGTCCACTTTGTTTGTTGTCTTTTAACAATTCTCGATCACTCCAGAACTGCTTGCACCGCTTATCTCTTGTTAAATAAGACGAAAAAAACAGTGTTATAATTTTTTCAACATTTGCTCGATTTAAAAAATATGATAGCGCAATAACATGCAAGTATATTGCAATTTCCTGTAGTCAGAGTTAATTTTTGTTCTTACTACAGTGCAGATATTTGTCGAGCTTATAATTATACATCTCGAAGTCCACTTTATACCTTTCGTACAATCGCAGGACCATGTCAGTGGACAAATTATAAAAGTATCTGCATGTTGTATTAAAATCGGTGACTCCGGTGCGAGTGCGTTGCAGTCTGGGCAAGTAGATTTTACTTTTGTCCAATTTCATCTTCGACAGGATATAATTGACATCGCCGAAAGTGTATTCGTCCAGTTTCAGAATGAAATTGTAGCTCACGTCGCAGACTGCGCAATGAGTGTGATAAGGAGTCCAGTGGACGTCATCGTGGCCTGGCGGTTGCTTCAGCAGCCACTCCAGGAATTCCCGGAAGCTGGGTACTATCTTTAATCTGCAAAAAAATAATTTTCTGGTTTACATGAATTAACATGTTATTACTGAGTGACAATTTTCTTATCGAAGAAAGGTAGTACTTTCTATCTGTCAAGAACATTTGTTGCAGGACATTGCTGCTCGATGAATTGGAATGAAAGAGCTCTGGTCTTGTAAGATGAAGGATCTGACGAACGTAGAGCCATGCTTGTGCGGTGTACTTGCTGTTGTCCTCAATGCGGTCCCTACAAATAATGTCGTATCAGTATCAATTTTGACATTAGAACGATTAAGTTTTATAATTACCTATACGACGAGACTAATCGATGAAACGGATGTCTGACGACGAGCAACTTGAAGACAACGTTGTTCCTAGTGAAATGCAGCAGATCTCTTAAACTTTTTGGTGACAGAAAGTCTATTTCTCTGTAAATTGCATTGTCAAATTTAAAATTTCTTTGCTAATTCAAAACAAAGTAAATTTTTATAATATTATCACATTAAATTTACTTGTACAAATTGTTGTTGACCTGACGATTGCTCATGTCAGAAAATAATTTAGTGAAACTTGTAGATGCAACTTTACGGATCCAGCAGTATAACGAATTATGTTTGGCGTTGTATAGAAAATGTTTTTTGATGAGAGGACTCTTCAGCTTGTATTTTGCACAGACATTTGACATCCGTTGGAGTAGAGCGGCGCTTTTCTATAAATAGAAATATTATTTCTTAATGTAATAAATATATATTTTGATATTTTAAAATAATAATAATAATATAGTAAAATACCATAAATTTAGAAACATTTCTCGTCCTTTCCTCGATAGTATAGTGGTTAGTATCCCCGCCTGTCACGCGGGAGACCGGGGTTCGATTCCCCGTCGGGGAGGTTATTATTTTTATTTTTTTATAATTGTTATTAAAAAAATGTTATGTTACGATTAGAGATACTGCTTAATTGATATTTATATTGCTTTTATATATTATTTTTTATATACATACAGGGTGACCAATGGGAATGTGTTGAAAGTAAATAGTTATTACTTCGTAACAAATAGGCCGAATAAAATGAATTAAACGCCATTTTGTAGAGAAAACTTGTCAATTTTATTACCATATATATGAAAGAGAAATATAATAATTTAACAATTGAAATACACAATATTAAAAAAAGAAAAATTTTAGCTTGCGCATATGAATTAATGGTATATGTTTTCAAAGTGTTGTCCATTAGAATTAGCACAGAACTGCAATCGTTTGCAAAAACTTTGAAATACATTATCTAACATAGATGTAGGAATGCTGCGAGTGCATTTTTTAATATTATTTATCAGCTCTGCGGTGTTTTGAGGTTGTACGGCGTAACATTTGTCTTTGAGGTAACCCCAAAGAAAAAAATCACACGGGTTCAAATCAGATGAATAAGGAGGCCATTCCAGACCTCCATGAGCAAATTTCGGGTTTCCTAATCCAATTACTCTGTTGCCATACACTTCATGTATCGATTCAAAGACTTCGCGTGTACGATGTGGGGTCGCGCCATCCTCCATAAAATGGAAGTTCTTTACTAATCCGCGTTTCTTTGCATGGGGAAAGAATTTAGTCTCCAATAATTCTTTATAACTTTGACTAGTCACAGTTCCTTCAAAAAATTGCAGGTAGACCCCTTTTACAGAAATTGCAGCCCACGCGGAAACCTTTTAAGGATGAAGAGAAACGGCAATAGACACGTTTGGATTTTCCTGTCCCCAAAACCGATAATTTTGTTTGTTGACATATCCGTTTAACCAAAAGTGAGCTTCATCCGTAAATATTATTTGTTTTTCATCGAGTTCCTCACTTTCAAACATATTGGTTATCACCTTACAAAACTCAACTCGTTTTTCCATCGCTTTCTCCGTCAGCAATTGATGTGTAGTGATTTTGTAGGGATGCAGTTTAATGACGTCTCTCATTATTTTTCGGAGAGTTTCTCGCTTTAAATCCAAAACCTGAGCAGCTTTCCTAATCGAGGTGTTTGGATTTTTGTCAAAATAATTTCTAACGTCATCAATTGTTTCGTCCGTTGTAACGGTACGAGATGGACCAGGTAAATCATGTCTACGATCGTTCAAAGTGCCATACATACCAAAATTATCAATAATCCTGCCAAAAAATATCGACAAATAAAAATAAAATTTCACCTAACCAACATTGGAATGATGACGCGATTCCAGGGAGAGGGAGCGTGGGTAAAAAGTATCAAAAACATACCTTCTGAGTATTGTTTCGCTTGAAACTTTTTTAAATCCATATTTACTACGGAATCCACGATACGCTTGACTATAGTTTTTGCCTCTACTATAGAAGCACTCGATGAGAAACACTTTTCTTCGATGCTTAGCGCGTCCATCCTATAACTCACAAATCGGTTTATACGACGGTTCAAATGAAATTGACGGGTCTTAGGTAGCGGACCCTAGTCGGTAAAACAGTTACCGAAATCGAGGAGAGGATATATAACCGTTTACTTTCAACACATTCCCATTGGTCACCCTGTATGTATATTAAAAATGTCTATACAATGTATATACATCTACATCTATACTTTATCAAGAAAAATTGTATTTTATCAAGGCGGGGATATTAACCATTAAAAATTTTTTTTCTTATACTGTAACTGTAATTTTTCTAATCTGAATTTTCAGAGATATACCTGTAGATCAATAGTTTCGCCGTTCAACTCATCCATTCGCAATATGTTTATTTCCAATTCGACATTCTTCTTATTTATGTTGTTTGGAATCGAAAAGCGTGTTTGAAGGTTGACTGTCGTTATGCCTATTGTTTCTTTGAAATTAAAATTTTTTTTTACCGTAATTAAAACTACGCAGACAATAAAATATAGTACAACGCATAGAACACACTTGACAAACTGTGCTTTAATGAACATAATTAATAAAATTTAAAAACGCTAATTGCAGTCGCACAATATACAAAATAATCTTATTAATAGATCACTACTTAGAACATTATATTAGCTCATAATTCATAAAATTTAAACTTCATTAAAATCTATTATTTGTATATATAATATCATTCAAAATAATCAACCAAATATTTAACCAAAATTAAAAAAATTTTTATAATTAACTTTATTTATTAACGTATATTTTATTAATGTATCAAAATAGTATTATGATTCTTTCACTTCTATCAGAACACTAACATGCTTTTGAGAGTCTGCTTCATGGATGTTGTATGATAAATTCTTATCATCTGCCTGTCTCTTTCCTGTTTCTCTTTCTCTTTCTGAAGTTTCTTAGTCAACATTTCCTCTAAAATTATCTCCTAATGTTAAAAAAAAAAAAACAATTGTAATAAGATAATGTCCTGCTTAGCTTAACAATCAATCAGTCTGATTGATTTATTGTTTTCAAATTCTTGAAGGATTATTTATATAAATGAGGCGATAATATATAGGTATCTCTAAAAAAATTCACAGAAATATAATTTTCAGAAAAATGTAGTTTTTATTGCATCCGAATCTTTTCGTTTCTTTTTATCGGCAATACTTATTTAAATATTATTGCATTTCTTGCTTGTAATTGCAGAAAATGTTATAAATTTACTGAAAGATTTGTGGATTTAATACTCAGTAGTACAAAACTTATTTAATTAATCTATATTACTTTACAACAAAGAGAATCATGCTGTAGTCACGCAGCATAATGATGAATGACAATTAGACATTATTGAAGTATGATTGTAATTGCCTTGGTGATAATGAGTACATTATTATGGTAGAACCCATCGATTTCCAGAATTCTTCAAAGCCTTGATTTATATTTTTCAAAGAATTCACATTTTATATTTAAATTTAATTATTTAATTTATACAGAATCTAAGTTTAATTATAGCTAATTATATATTTGCCTAATCTTGCTGATTTCTTTGGATTTCTCAAAATGATAAACGATATGTCATTATTTAATCTGTCATTTATCATTAGTGATGGAGTAAGTTTTGGGAATCGATGGGAACCGATGAGAAAAAATGCCTGAGTCGAGCCTTATCTGCGATCTCGGTATCTGTGATGATCGCGGGAAGAGCGGTGATCACTGTGCCGACTGTGGCGGCTAGCTGTTCTCCATAGGAACTCGTCGACACTTCTTTCGTAGCTACGTTTCTCCAACGCTGAAGTCGTAGCGCTATAATCCGGAGGTAGTGGCAGGCCGTCATAATATCTGAGAAAAAAAAGAAAGCAATCGTACAAAAAATGTAACTAAACGCATTAAAGTACCTAAAACATGGATAAATATTTCCGGTGTTGAAATATTCTTACCTTGGAGGTGGAGGAGGCGGTGGCAGACTGTCATAGGGATGCGGGCCATAAGGTGGCAATGGAGGCAACTGGTGTTGCATTGTGCGCATATAATCCGCGACGTAAGCCTCCGCGGCAGCGGCGACACCCAGTCCGTTGCCGTAACTCCTAAAAAACAGATTATTGTTATTATTATATAAAATAAGTTGCATCATTTAATTACAATATGTTTCGAAAGCTATTAAATGTTATTTTTATGTGGGTGATCATACTTTGTGTAAGGGGAATCTCCGCGATTGAACCACGGCGTATAACGGTACGAGTGATCCCTGGAGCCCCTGTGATCCCCCGCAGCACCATGAGAACCCCTGGCAAGCGAGGCTAAGCGCGATCTCGTGGTCAAAAAGAGTCTGCGTCCTCGTCCTCCTCTCCGCAAGAATCTCGAGTTGCTTATCGGCCTCTTATCGCGATAACGTGACGACTTTGTCACGTGCTTTCCTGCTTCCTTGGACTTTCGTAAAATAGGCGTCATCTCGATTCCTGGAAACAAATGTCATTTAAATAAGTGATTTGTTAAAGTTTATAATATACTGACATATATTACGTATATGCACATTTTTCAATATTATTTACTAAAATTTAACGTTTACTTTGCAAAAGTTACCTTCGTCTTCTGGAAACAGTCTGCACAATTCCTCAGCGACTCTGGGTTCGATTTCCTGGCCGTCTCGACCGATTTTAACTTGCTTGCCGTCGTTCCACGGATTGTACAAGTGTAGTGTGGCGGTAAAAGGTAATTCCTTTCTACAAATCCAGTCGACTTTAAATACACCGCCTAAAGCCTTTGCTGATAAGCCAGGAGGTAAAACCTGAAACGCATTCAATCGTACTTTTCCTCTTTTTTTATTCACACTTCTTATTTTTTGCAATTCAAATAATAGAATTGAAAAATGTGGTTGAAAGGTGTATTTTTTTCGCGTACCCAAGAAACTGGCCCAGTATCCCTCCTTGATTCTGTGCTCAGTCGAGCAAAGCCGGCGAATTTTCCCGATTCCTTGACGGAAAATACCAACAATACGTTCCGCGATTCTCTGTAGGCTTGATTCAGATTTGCTTCATTTTGCGGCAGCGTGCTCCACACTCCCTTGGCTTTAGACAGCGTCACATTCTCCGCGTTGTTAGACTTGATGATGAAAAATCTGACACAAAAGATTTTTGGAAATATTTACTCCATATCTAGACAGCTTTAATAAATATACGATATTAAAGACATTTTGCATTATATAAGACATTTGCTGTGAAAATAATGTTGCAAATAAACTGTGTTAAATTTTAGAATTCTATCTTCTGTTTAATAGGAAGAACTTTTGATAAATTTTAAACTACAGGTTTAAAAATTCGATGTACAATCTCATTATTTTGATGACAGATTTTGTATATCAATATATATAAAAAAGAATTAAATTTCAGAAATGTGTGGAATAAAGTAATACTGCAAAATAATGATGTATTTAAGAAGAAATAAAATATTCACGAAAGTCTTGTTATAAATACAAAGGCTGCAGTAGCAATATTGATTGTTATCCTCGTCAAACCTTGCATCTCTAAATAAGTAATTCAGTTTGGTGGCATAGTCGTAGCTCTTGGTAGTGCCCTTGCTCTCCTTGGATCTGGCTCGCTTCGGCTCAGGACTGGACGATTTGGAATCCCTGGATCTGCCTCGTTTGTTCCTCGTTCTCCTACCGCGTTTGTTGTCGCCACGCGACGACTTGCTGGAGACTGTGCTGATAGTCGGATGGCTGGAGTCGGAGTTGGAGCTGCTGGAGGAGACCTCGCTGCGAGTATCGTAAGTCTCGTCCGCGGCAATTCTCAGCTCGTCACCATTGTCGTTCTCGCCGGAACTGAGATTCGCGTTCTCGCCGTCTGTGTTGCTGCCCATAGCTCAATCCGGATCCGCCGCTGCTCGTAGCAGTCCGGACTGTCCGTGCCTGCAACGCAAACACGAGAGAGGATACTTATTACTGCGTCATGCTCAGCGCGGATGAGCAGCACCAGGTAGAAAACGACATCATGTCGTAAACGTTTCTCGTACATCTTACGGCAACAGCGCGGTAGCAAGGGATTATATAGTATACAGCAAGGATAGTTCGGGGATTCCGAGCCGAGCGAAAAGTCCACACTGTTCCGCGAACTCTCTCGATTTAAAGCACCTACACGCGCCGCAGCGGTGTCCGGCCCCCTTACACCTAACACAAATCGACAGGGACACATCGCAACTTGGGCTCGATTGGGCTTAAAAGTCAGCCAGCGGTTCTGACCGGGACGTAAACTAAGTTTTTACGAGCAGTCCTTGAGATTATGCGGGAGTCAACACATAGCGGGAGTCGCTCTCACGGAGAGTTGCTCTACGTAGTCTCTGAAAGCACGGAGTTTTTTTTTTTTTATTTTTCGGACCGCGAACCGCCCGGTCCTTAGTTATTTACCCTCTGCACTTCTTTCGAAAACAGAGGTCAGTTATCGATAGATTTTTTTTTCTTACTGAGGAACCATTTTTTTTACATTTTTGCCCGCAAACATGCTAAGAGTCTGTCAGAAGACTTCGTTTAGAGCTCTTTTTTCTTTTCTGCGCTTTTTTTTAGTTATCTAGAAAAGTTCGTTGCAAAACGGTAGATCACTAAATACGGGATTTTCATCGTCATTTATAATTTCTTTTTTCTTTTTTTTTCTCAAAGTCTTTGGAATTTTTTTTTCGACGAGTCCTCCCGAGGGCTCGGCGCACACTTACGTGACACCCTATGTCCCTTCACTGACACACTTCACACGAAGCACGCTCGGGAAACATCCGTTGCGATATCTTAAGCACAGCGCGGACACGCGTCGACACACGCACGTTTCCAAATTTTATGAGAATCGCGAGTATGACTCGAGGAAACCTGACGAGGATTCCGTAGTGAGTAACAGTAAACAATCGCTTTCGCAGGCGGATCATGCACAAACTACGGCGTCAATTACGTGACGTGTTTTCTGAATCAATAGCAAACTAGGGGGAGATGAACCCATAGGGATAAGATGGACAAGAAGGTTGCACCACTTTTTCTTCCACTAAATTTTGAATGCGTCAATTTGTTGTAGCCAATACAAAAATTTCTTTTCTAGATATAAAAATATCGTTACTTAAAGTTTCTAAAAAAGACATATTTTAATTGGATTGTATGTTCCAATCAAACGCAATGTGTAATTTTTTTGTCCACCATCAGAGGTCGGATAAAGGACATAGAGTTAATCTTCTATTTGTTTACATTTCTATGCCAATAAATATGGCGACGACGTGTTGTCCAAGAAAATGTCGAAAAAATTATTGAGGTTATAGTAAACAAATTAGTATAAAAAACATGTCACTGAAGGTAATTCTCTATAATTTTACAAGATTTTGTATAGATTATTTTTTATCAAATACATCTTAATAAAATTTCTTATAAATTTGTATTTGTATATTACATTTGTATAAATTGACCTAGTTTGTTAATGTTTGTTATTTATATTTACTTATAATTTATCTACATCAGTACAAATTCACGTAAATTTATAAATCCATATTTTCCGATATTTTACTTTTATTGATTTCCATTTGTTTGCTTATATGTATTTATATTCATATAATTTATAATTTAGCAGCATAAAAACGAGTACCGCAGGTCCATTGACGACTACCAGTCTGAGGCACCTGTGAGACGTAAGATTGGTCTTTATTGGATTCTGGTTGCATTTAGGATAGCCCTTACTTTTGCACCACAGACAGGCTACATCCATCCAGATGAATTTTTTCAGTCCATTGAAGTCATCTCTGGTATGTTGTTATTTTTTACTGTGTTTCAGCGTTCGCTTCCTAAGATTCCATTGCTCTCTTTTACAGGTGATCACTTTGACATTGATGTGTACAAACCATGGGAATTCAACGCCACCTTTCCCATACGTACCGCATTAATTCCTCAGCTCGTGGTCGGCTTGCCTTATGCGATTCTCAAGAGACTGTCTCCATATACATTCCACTTCTTCGGATTCTCCCTGAAGAGGCCGTACTTTTTTGTGCTTTTTCCACGACTCTTTATGTGTGCACTTTCCTTCTTCTCGGATTATTTTTTGTACAAAATCTGTTGTATGTATGGGCAGAATTACAGAGTCAGGCTTGTCACATATGCAAGCTCCTACATCATGCTCACTTATGCCACTCGCACATTATCCAACTCTATTGAACTGGTACTGACTGCAGCGCTCTTATACTTAGTTGCTCAATGTATGGCGTATTCGGAGAAGGTAATTTAATTTTCTTTCAAAAAAGCTCCAATGCAAAATCAATTGGTGATTCTATTGTAAATATATTTTATTCTTATATGCAAAAGAGTAAAAATTCTTTTTTTTCGTGTATTTAATTAAATAAATTTTGTTATTTAAAATAATGAAAATTTTAATTAAGAACTTTATTTTGCTCTATTAGATGTTGCAGAAGGAAAAAAAAGGATTTTTTCATACAATTAGTTAAGTTCTACTGCTTAAATAATTAAAATCCTATAATTAGAATAAGAAAAAGTTGTCAATATTTTATTCCGTTATTAAAAATTATTATTGCTTTATTGCTTTATACCAGGTGGTGCTCCAGAGCGATTATCTCTCGAAGAAGTACAGCGAAGCGACGACCGGAGTGGAACGAGTCAAGTACTATAAGCTTAAGGCTTTGCTGCCGTCGCACTCGCTGAACCACTGCTTCGTGCTGGCCACAATAACGGTGATAGGAATATTTAACAGGCCGACTTTCGTCGCATTCGCCCTCGCTCCAATCTTCTTCTGGCTGCAACGGGGCTTGGGCTCAAGGAGCGTCGGCTTCAAAGACTTCCATGTCAGGATGTTCGTTTTCGTTCTTTGCGGACTACCAACCGCGCTGTTCTTTATTCTAGTCGATAGCTTTTACTTCGGATACTTGACGACGGGCGAGATAGGCCAATTGCAGGTCGGAATAAACAATTTTGTGGTGACGCCGCTTAATTTCTTCAAGTACAATGCAGAGGCAAAGAATTTGGAGACGCACGGGTTGCATCCTCGTCTCCTGCATTTCTTGGTGAACGTTCCACTACTCTTCAGCGTCCTGGGAATTGTTGGACTGCTGACGTTCGTGAAAATGGTGTACAGGTGAGTAACATCCGTTCGAGACGTATGTTCTTTGCAGCGAAATGATCAATTAACAATAGCATTTATTTGCAGTGTATTGAAGGCGCAATGGTTGCATCTGCCGCGCCTACAAAGCATCGTCGGTTTGATGACGTGCACATTCATCGTTCCGATCACCCTGCTGTCTCTCTTTCCTCATCAGGAACCTCGTTTTATAATCCCTGTGCTCCTACCACTGGTGTTCCTTTATGCGCCCGAGCTAAGTCAAGTTCCCAGCCTGGATATCGTTCGAAGATTCGACGGTAACAGCGAATCGTACGATTCGCCTGAACCGAAGAGTCGAAAATCTAGGAAGCTGGTGCTCTGGTACGTCAGCAACCTGCTGCTGGCCTTCTTCTACGCTCTGGCGCACCAGGGCGGGGTTTTCCCGCTAACGTCGCACATCGCGACGGAGCTGCAGGCCAAGCCGCATCTCACGCATGTACACCTGTACACTTCGTACAGTTACTCGCTGCCCACGGCGCTGCTTCAGTTGCGCAACACACGCAGGGTCTACCGTAGCAGCAGCAATCACAAGTACAAGCTGACGCAGGACTTTCACTTGTACGAGCAGGGCTCCAAGCCGCTGCAGCAGGTGTTCGACAGTATCGCTCGGAGAATCAAGGACTGCGAAGAAAAGTTCATCGTCAAGAGGATACCCTACAGACTGTATTACGCGTTGCCAGCCTCCGCGATAACCGAGTTCGCGGAATTATTGCAGAACAATCGGTCGCATCTGTTCAGATTCCACGTAGTCAAGACTTTTTATCCTCACATTTCTGTGGAGAGATTACCATCGTTGCTCGATGGGCTGATGTATTTTTTAATATATCAGCCGCGCGATGGCATTTTTAGCAATTTTATCGAAGCTGTGAGGTATATAGGCGAATATGTCGAACAATTTGGGTTGTTGTTGCTGAAAATCGAATATTTTGTGCCTGAGTCGAAGCAAAGTAAGCACAGTGGATGAACAAATGAATGGAATAGCTAACAATAAAATTGAATAATTTTAAAAAATTATATAATTATATATTTCCATACTTTACTTCTAAGGTAATATAATACCACTAATGATAATAGTAGAATAAGTGATAAAAACACTAGTCACTGTGAAAAAGAGACGAGATTTAAAATAATCGATTGGCTTGTTAAGAGGCTTATAGGGAACGTTGCAACATTTAGCATGAGTAATGCGATGAAGAAATATATTTTTCAGTTCAAAAGCCACTACTTATTACAGTTTCCATAATTATTATTCGAAGTAGATTACATCTTTTTCGGAATCATTCAACTTTTGTTGAAAATATTTTTCGATATCACTAAGTTACAAAAATATTCAAAATAATAATAGTTATTACCTCAAATTGTCTATTTATTTATTATGAAAACTATTTAAAAAATTGTAAAAATGTAGGAAAAATATTTGGAAAAAATTGAAATAGTGTATTAATCATTATTTATTGCATTAAATATATTTAATAAAGTTGTGAATTGTTATTTATAATTTCTCATCCTTATATATACGTGATTGAAATGCACCACTTTTATATAAATAGGATAAAAAATACATAAAATATTACTATAATATGCATTCTCTCTTGTGTAACTTTCATAATAAAATAATACATAATAAAATAATACATCATAATAAAATAATTCCATAATAATAATATCCTGTTTAGCTGTATTGCAATTATCGCAGTACAAAGTACTGAAATTTAAAGATAGCTAAACTATTCAAAACTATAATTATTAATATCATAATTTAATAAGTAAAGCTAATATATATATATATATACATATATATATACATATTGTTACAGAGATTATTTCAAATTTCCTTAACCAAATATTAATATTATTTATAAAAAAAATGTAAAGAAAAGGTTACTACATTTAATTAAATATATAACAGTTCTAAGTTAATTTTTTCTTAATATTATTACATAGTAATATGTTATAAACAAGCTAATATAATACAGTTATAATATTAAAATGTAATAAATGTAATTACAATAGCTGCTTTATATTGCCAAATTCAAAATAAGATAGGTCCATTTGTTTTTCGAGATTCTACGCAATATTCTTTAAATAGCAATTACTCGAAGCATATTATTATATATAGTAAGAGATTTTATAAAATGTATATCTATATTTATACAAATGAGTGATACAAATGAATATATTAATAAAAAAAATTAAGTTTTTCTTAATCTCAAATTTTTAAGCAAAATAAAGATTTAAAAGTTAATCATAAATGAGAATAGGTAGTGATTTTAATATTTCGTAGTTTTTTTTAATATATACTAACTTATGTTGATATAAAAAACATTTAGAATGTACATTATTTTGTGCTATTGTTTTTTTAAATTGCACAATTACCTTGTTGCACAATTATCTAAGAGAATTAGAACATGTTTATAATTTCTTAAATAAATTATGAAGCATTTTATATATTAGTGCATGTATCAAACATAATATAAATACAGAGATTAAACTCTCTGCTCACCACTGTAATTTTGGTAAAGCTTTGGACTTTCTTCTACAGAAGAAGTGGTACTTCTTGGACTTGCTAAATTCACTTCTGAATTCGAAGCAGTCGATATAGTTTCTTCTACAGATGCCTGATTCTTCCGCAATACTGGTGCCACAAAATTTTGACCCCCTGAGAGGTCCCCCCTTTTTGGTACTTGCATCTAATAAAATTGATTAGCGATTAATAATAATTAAAAATTATACTTTTTTTTCTTAAAAGAGATCGTTAAAGTTTTTAATTTTCTAACGAGACAGTTTTAATTTTTGATTATTTTATGTATATGAAATATATACTATTAAAATTTAAACTATGTTTAATTTTTAGCAGTTAAACTAAATTCTTTTATAATAAATTTAAGTTTTTTAAATAGTTAAATTAATTAATCAATTTACTGTATATAAAATAACAACTTATTTGAGAAAGATGCTTTAAAATGTTAGTTCGTTAGTATAATATATTGGTGTAGATAACTCATTAATCTATATGGTATAATTTTTAACAAAATTTATAAGTCTTTCTATATTAAAATTATTCAAGCTGTATACCTTAGTTTTCGATAATGGTAACGTAACACCGGTTACCAAGCCTAGAATACTTGCACAGAGACCACTGAGTTGTACTGCAGCTAATGCAGATAGACCTCCCCGTACAAGGCCTAAAGCTAAAAGAGCAGCTTGAGCTAAAACCGGCGCAGCTCCTGCAGCACCAACTGCTGCTCCGGCCAATTGGCCACCGCCGATGCTCGGTCCATAAGCAAAACACAAATTATGTCTATCCACCTAAAAAAGAAGTAATAGTTTCAGTAATCTTGAAAGAACCACGAAACATTAATGTCTCGGAAATAAATATATTTTGAAGAAAATTGTGTAACGACCATATCAAAATATTCGAAAAGTTTCATAGTCTATTCAATTCTATTTGCATAGAAAAAAAATTAGAAAACTTTTATGTAGAGAATTTTTATGTTATACGAAGACTATCTTGTACTATCTAAATCATAGTTCCAATTGCAAAGTACTGACAAACGTACCAAATGTTTAACCACAAGATATAGAAGACCAAAAGGAGTGATTAAAGGACACGCTAAACTGTAGACGGTTGTCATAGTAAAGACTAACAACAACCATGCATAATGAGCTCCCAACGGAAATTCCCACAACACTGCTTTTCTCACATGTATTCTTTCTGCCCGACTGCGAGCTACACAAAGTCTAAAAGTGTACAGCGCGAGTTCAGGGAATCTGACTAATTCCAATCCACTTCCAAGCAAGGCCGCAGTTATAACATAATTTACAAAAAGAGCACCCTGGAAATTTTAAATTTCTGTATAGATCTATTGTACAAATATTACACTAATAAAAAATTATACTAACAACTGATCAATAAGAAATTTTTGATAAAACTGAAGAATAGGGGACCATCTCCCAATGACCTTAACTTTGACATATGTTATCAAGATCCTTATCAAGTCTTGAGTAACAAAAAAATGAGTTACGACTAAAACCTTTTTCTTGTTATTCAAGACGAGGACTTTGATAACATTTATCAAACTCAAGATCATCATTGGAAGGTAATCCCTTATTGTTCATCAAATTTTGTTAAATATTATTAATCTTATTGCTATAGAATAAATGCTTCATATTTATTGTGAGATAAAAATACCTGATCTGGTAAAAATACACATTCCCATCGCGCCGTTTCATTACGGACATTCACAGTCCATTCTAAAAATGCTTCAGCACTGGTTAAACCTAAACTAGGTAGTATAAGCACCATCAGTAACAAAAGAAGTAACGTTTTCCTCATAACAGCACGATTTAAACTGCTCCTGGTCCAATGCCTTACAAGCGACTCGCCTTTCGCAACTAGGACAGGCATTAGAGCAGCCACACTGACCAACAACACCGTAGGCAGAAAGGATGAGACCACCGGACTCAAATTCATAATTTCTCCAGTAACTGGTAATTTATTGACATTGGTCACGATAACCTAAAATGTAAAAAAGTTTACAAAATATATTAAATACTTAAAAAATATACAAATATTTAATATATCTAAGTAACTTTTCTAATTTCTTGACGACGTGTAAATAAAACTATGAAAAAAATTAATCATTAAAACGTTATTTATATCAACATGTTAAGTATCTCATATTTCTTTGTTACTTTTAAGTTCCTTTATCTTTCCTATGTTCAGTTATCTTTTTTAAATCTACTTATTTAATTTTCATTGTATGTTTATGCTAAAAAAATTTACTTACTGCCGGTGTAGTAAGGAAAAACAATATTGTCGCCAAAGCGCAATTTATCAATACAGCGTTTAGATACCAACACGGCCTGGGGATGCTCAGATTTTCCCAAAATATATCTGACGGCATCGGTGCATAATTCACAGTCCATTTTACACTTAGCGAAGACCTCAATTGTTTGCGCATAATTTTTGCTGCACCAGGTGTTCCTGTTAATTGTATGCCGTGAATTTTTTGTGTTAAGAACGACAAAAAACATTATACATTAAACATGTAACATAAAAATACCTAAAGTTACAAAAGCTACTCCAAGAGGACTACTAAGTGCCACCTTCTTTTCTTCCTCAACTAATGCTGTTAACCGTATCTCTTCATTGGTATAGAATTCTTGTGCATCCACTTGCTACAAATTTAAATTTTCCATTAAAGGTACTAATTTGCGACGATATAAATTCAAAATAATCAGTTTTATAGATTTTATAATAAATTAGAGTACCTCACAGGTTCCTGTAAATAAATAAAATGATAAATAGAACAAAAGGGATATCGAGCTATGATAGTTGTTAACATTAATAATTACAATTTTGACAAACTACAATGATACATCATTAAAACGTTTCGGTCAACGATTTAACCATCCTCAGTACAATAATTTAAACGCATGCGTAAACACTAAACGCTAACACTTTACATGGCTCAATATCCCCTTTGTTCGTATTTATTACTTTATTTGTAAATTTTATTATTTAGTATATTTACCTTTTTGCAACAATATCCAATTACTTGGCCGCATGGATAAGGATACATTTGCAAAGGTTCTCTGTTCTTAGCATAACTTTCGCAATATAAACGCGCCTGCTCTGCACAATCTCTTTTTTCATCCAAGTTTGAAAGACGTCTTATATCGTGAGCCAGTGTAATGTCCTCTACTGTTAAAGTAGGAAATGCTTCTCTAAAAAAGTCGCCAATACAATTTTTCAAAAAAAATGTTATTCATTGTACTCCTAAAGCAAAACAATAAAACGTATGCATATATACGCTATAAGAAAATAATTAAAAAAAGTACTTTTCTACATACTTAAAATATTCGCTGAGGTTCTCAATAGTACATTGATATTTTGGTATATCTGTAATTAACAATGTTTTTGCTGCAAATTCTCCTGTAGGTTTAATATCTCGCACCTATTTATATAAAAGATCAAATGTAATTATATTATGTATTATACACAAATAACATAAATATTATATAAATATTACGAGTATATAACATTCTTATAAAGAACAAAATATTTTAAATTATGTGCAACAGAATAATTATTGCAATACCTGCTTTAAACAATATCTCATAACAAATCCACCAACTGGCAGGTAACACAAGAGCAATATCGTGTGCACCCAAATCCATGAAGATGAAGGATCTAAATTTGATAATGTTGTATGACTAAATGTTGCACTGTCTCCCTGCATCGTTCCGTGAAAATTTATGGGTAAAGCTATACATAAAGAGACAATGACCATCATGAAAGTCAATATTATTAAGCAACGTTCAAACAAAATATATAACAATCCATCAGGACCAGCGCGTTGTAATAATTCATCATCTCTGCAATTATAAAAGCACATGATAAGAGTGTAAATTATAGATGTACTATAAGTGAATAAAATATTCCAAATGTACTATGATACTAACGTAATCTTAAAAGCAGTGACAATCCATGAGAGAAATCCTCTATCCAGTTGAGAGAGTTGAGAAGTGACAGAAGCTTCTACACATAAAGGATCGGTATCTCTATTTTTATCAACACCGTAGAACAGCTCCATCCATCTATTATCAGATTTGTGTAGCAATGCGAGGCGTCCATAATTCCATGCCTTCTTACGTAACAGGCCAAATAAACTAACCAAAAGCTGCCAAAAAACTTTGTGTTATGTTAAATGCCAATTTAATAATTATGTTAATAATTTTCTAGCATATATGTAATTCATATTTTTCTGTGACAATATATATTTTAAATAAACCACAATATCTTACCAAAAATCCTACTACATTTATCAATAAATTCTCTGGTATTCCTGCATACACATCTGTGATTATTGTCTTGTTGCTTCGAGGAATGGGAATGCATGTATTTAAGAAAGGAGTGGTACTGTAATATAAAAAATAAAAAATATATAATAAACCTTTATTGTGAATATTTCTTAATTGTCTTAATCGAATCTTTTTCTTAACCTCTCTGTCTCTTTAAAGATGAATATATGTTGAACATTGATATTTCATTATCAATAATAATCAATAACAAAATATGCGGAACATTCACGAGATGAAAATTATTAAAATAATATTGCTATAATTATAATTAAACATTATTTATACAATGTCATTCTAGTAAACAATAATATAAACAGCAGCAAGTAAAACCACAAAAAAAATTAAAGTAAATTAAAATTAAATTAAATTTATACTACAAATCATGGTGAATTATTTTCACATATATGTAGACAAATTGAAAGTTTAGTAAACATACGATATAGATGAAAATATAAACTATGACTATGACATCTTCGGAAAGTATGACACATATCTCATTACTTTATTCATTAACTGAACGTTATCAGGCTCCACAAATTATAGAGATACAAATAATACAAATGATATATATATATAATACAAAAGAGAAAAGTGATAAGCGTCAAGAATGGTTAATCGTAAAAACATTGTACAATCATAAGGTAAGAAAAAGTGCGCAGTGATTTGCAATTTCGTCACTTACTTTTCAGAGACGTAATCCATAGTCGATAAAACACGTGAATCAGTATGCTGTTAAACAAATACGAAAGTGCATGTTAGCGAACGTGTGTCAATTTGACACATCATATATTCGCTGCTGTTGGAAAAGTATGCTTCACTGTAATCTAACTTAACCTGACCTGACTTTGCTTTGAGTACATACATGTACCAGTAAATACCAGTACGTACCGTGAAACGTCATTCCGACTTTTTAGCAAACACATATACACATACACCAATATGTTATGTGACAGTCATTGATCTCTATATATAGCCAGTGACGCCAGATTTGAGGTACAAGCAACAAAAACGTTTTAGAAAAGATATCTTTAAGACGTCCTAAAAACGTTCTAAAAAAGAACATCGTTTTTTAATTTCTTTAATTCGCATTTTAAATTTGCAACAAAAATTGGCATTTTAAATTTGCAACAATTTTCCAAAAATAAAAAAAAAGACGTTTTAATTACTTTAGTGTTTTACGAGTATCTTAACACTGTCAAAAGTAGCCCAGAAGCATGTAGAAAAATCAAATTACTCGCTAGAACGGCCAGATATTTTAGCAGGGATTTCAAGAAATTAATAGGAGTTAACAGGAGCATATGATGATAGAGAAGCATAGAGTCCCTAGTGAGCTCCTCATGCCCTATCTACACCGAAGGATGATCCTGCTTGTGGTTCATCCGCGCGAGTAATGTAGACGCATTGAAACACATTGAAAATCACACTGAAGGCGAAAGTGATCGGATGAGCCACAAGCAGAATCATCCTTCGGTGTAAATAGGGCATCAGTCATCATGTGCTCCTGTTAACAATTTCATAAAATCCCGGCTAAAATGGAGTGTTTCTGACCGTTCCAGCAGGTTGCGCGCATAGAATATGCGCGAACTATTCTCGCGCATATACTTCCACGTAAATCACAAAGTGATGCTGTATCGATATTATTCTACGATACGCGAGTAATCATTTTTGTTTTGCAATTGATTTTCACGCATATTTAATCTTACGTTGATTGCCAGCAAATAAGGATTTTTTAAAAATGGTGTCCGTTTTAAATACTGTTGATACCGGTCACGAAGACATGATTCATGACGCGGAAATGGATTATTATGGATTGAGGTTAGCTACATGCTCAAGTGATAATTCGGTGAAAATATTTGATTTAAAAAACGGCACTCAAAGCTTAGTTACTGTTCTCAAGGGACACATTGGCCCTGTATGGCAGGTTGCATGGGCCCATCCTAAATTTGGCAATCTTCTAGCATCTTGCAGTTATGACAGGTATACCAATATTCTTTTTTGTAATTTAAATTTGTAAACAGATGGCACATAGTTGTATTTAGAAATTTAATAATAACACAGTTATGTACATCTAATTATTTTACATATAAACGAGTGTTCTTGCAGAAAAGTTATTATCTGGAAAGAACTTGGTGAATGGACAAAGATATATGAGCATACGGGTCATGATTCATCTGTTAATTCGGTTGCATGGGCACCGCACGAGTTTGGTTTGATCTTGGCTTGTGGCAGTTCAGATGGATCAATTTCTATTCTTACAAATACTGGGGATACTTGGCACATGCAGAAAATAACAAACGCTCATACGATTGGATGTAATGCAGTCAGTTGGTGTCCAGCGATTGATTCTGGTGTTGACACCAATGCAACTCAAAGGAGTGGTCCTATGAAGAGATTAGCAACTGGTGGTTGTGATAATTTAGTAAAAATATGGAAGGAGGAAGGGGATAGATGGTTAGAAGAGAATAAACTGGAGGCACACAGTGATTGGGTATTATTTAAATTTGCATTTAAGTGGAATAAAATTATTTGAACTATAAAATTTGTATATCTAAATATTTTTTATCAGGTACGAGACGTAGCCTGGGCACCAGCAGTTGGCCCATCAAGAGCCACTTTGGCATCTTGTTCACAAGATCGCCGTGTGGTTGTATGGACATCCAATGATTACGCCAGCTGGACACCAAATGTCCTTAATGTTTTTGATGATGTAATCTGGAACGTCAGTTGGTCATTAACAGGTGGCATCCTAGCGGTCAGTGGAGGAGACAACAAAGTTTCTCTCTGGCGTGAGAATTCTGAGGGACAGTGGGCATGTATCTCTGAATTGAACAAAGATCAAGGGAATCTTAATAATCCGGATCAGCGCGCGCTGTAACATCACTAATAAAAATATAAATATTTTATACAAATAATTATAAATTAATCAATTTGTTTAATATTGAGTATTTTTTTAACAAATTCTAGAGTTATTACGAGTTATCTATTTTTAGTATTTAAGCATTGATCTAAAATATATCTTGTAATTATAAATACGACACTTTATTAAAGTCACTACTGAGAAAATTAATGTTTTCAAATATCATACATACTTTTAAAACGTAATTTGGAATATAATTTTTACAAATATATTGTATTTACAATAATAATGCCAGTTTATTGTTTATACAAAAATATATTAATTTCTAATAGTAAAAGATAAAAAGTTTGCATTTATAGGTTACATTAGTCTTGAGTATATAAAGACGCAGCGAAAACTATGTCGCGTTTAATCGCAGTCGAAGCTTCCTCCATTTTTTCTTTCAAAACTGGATCACCTATAGTTACAGCCGCGTTTTTGACGTCTCGTAAGGTTTCGCCAAGCTGCTGTATGCATCGAACTATAATTCCCTCTTGAACGTCTGTCATCTTCATAATCTCTGCAAACGATTTGGCTTGTGCCCATTCGTAAACTACTTCTACTAGACCGGAATTTAACGATGACAGCGTTGACAATTGATAGTATTGCTCTAGATGTTCCAATTCCGCATGCACCTCGCTCATTATTTTACAACCCTGGAAAAAAAACACAAGGTTTAGCTCGCAATAAACACATTTGACTATTTTTTTCTTAATTTATCATATGAAGCAAGATAGATTAATGATGTACATTAGTGAGGCTTGGTGTAAGCATTGGTTCAGAATCTGTGCGTTGTTGAAAGATCAGTGCTGACAGTAGCGCTGCTATTTCTGCTGGTTGTAAAACAGTCAACACATTCTTGAGGATTAACTCTGTTATTAGTAATTCGTTGCTACCCATTTGTAGTGCAACTCTTCCTTTTAGAGCAACTGCAAATCAATATATCATTAAAGCAAATATTGACATAAATATTAGTGATAAATATTCATTCGTGAAAAAATATATTTATATTCAAAAATATAAAAATATTAATATAATATTAGTAATAAACATATTATATAATATATAGATATGTTTTTTGTTGTAATACAAACCTCTTTCATCGTTATCTATATATCTTAAATGTTTCAGAAGTGTCACCATATTCAGATAATCCGGATATAGCGCCATGCCTTCATCACTGAGCTTAAGTTGCAACTGTCGTTTTTTATCCTCAAGTTGATTTCGCTCAAATACAGGTTTAAACTGTTCTTCGAAGTTCGGTATTTCCGTACACTTCATATCGTCGAGACTAGCTTTTAGTTGATCTCTATGTTGTATCCTTAGTTGAAAATCATTTCTCAATGAAGATTCAATGTATGGGCATAGAACTTCAGCATTGGCGACGGCGTTAAATGACAGAGAAGTCAATTCTTGAATCGCCATTTGACACGTCTGTCCTGGTGGATCGTTTCTGAAAAAAAGTATTACATGAGTAAATGTTCGAAAATTTTTTTATTTTACCTATAAGTTTAACTTTTTCAAGAATTTTTCTTTTTAATAATAACTTTAATTTTTTATTTTGTTACATTATTATTTCTTTACTTAAATCGTGAGATTTGCCTCTTCTCCCAATCATTCAGCACCAAACAGCGATCGACTTTTATTTGGCACTTAGTTATCTTCAATATATGCCACGAAGACAAGATCACAACCTCATGCGATGGATTATTGCTGGGTACGAATATCCTTTTCTTCGTTACGCCAATAACCTCGCACCATTTTTCATATATTTGAAAACTCTTAAATTCAGCAGCTTCGGAATTAGATTCGTTTGCGTCTTTCAGTATCAACACTTTGTACTGAGTGGAATTCTTATGATGTATAACTTGCAACAATAAAGCTAGCTTGTTATAATGATTCGCATACGATATCAGTAAGACTCTGCCTTCGGTTAAATATTTCGAGGTTTTTTTTGATTCGAACAAATAGGGACCAAGAAATTTAACGTCCTCCAGATAATCAACCGCCACATGATAGAATGTCGAAAGGCTCTTCTGCATTTCAGTTAAAGTCGGCAGATGTAACAATTCTTGCTCAATTTTTTTTAATTCACTACTATATGTCGCTTCTTGCAAAGCTAGCGGTGATTCCTTGAAAGACTTGCGCATCATTGCCTCGACAGTAACTGATTCGTTCACCCTTCTCAAATTCAAAAGCATGGAATACGTGACTTTGAATTTGGATTCCAATGTTTGCGGCTCGCCACACATCATAGGTTTCAAGTCGTTAAAATGCGGCACATCATTCCGACACATCACTATGACAGTTCCCGTGGTGTCGTGACCTCTGCGTCCAGCACGACCGGCCATCTGAATATATTCAGTTGGATATAAAGTACGAAAGCTGTTTCCGTCGAACTTTCGGACGGAATCAAATACTACCGTACGAGCCGGCATGTTGACTCCCATAGCAAAAGTTTCCGTTGCAAATAGTAGCTGGAACATGATAAAATGCTTATTAACATTGTTATTAACATTGTCTTACTAAATTTTTTTTCTTTTTATTTTATATCAAAAATAATTATCAATTTAAGTGCAATAAAAAATTACTAAAGATTTTTTAAAACACGCTTTAGTTTTTTTTCTCACTTTTCAGTATTATTTCTTTGTAAAATTACCTTTACGACACCATTCTGGAATAACATTTCTACAATTTCTCGCAATATTGGCAATATCCCACTGTGATGTATACCCACTCCTTTCTCTAACAGTTCCTGCATCATAAGTACTTGCGGCAATTCTCTATCGCTACCTTTCAAATTCCTTATGTTAGATTGGAAGAACACATGCACTTGATGCTTTTCTCGCGCAGTAGTTAAATCAAGATTCCTCAATGTAGCAGCATTCATATCACAGCGCTTTCTTGACAATGTAAATACAACGACAGGTAACATATCCTGTATAACAGATAGCATTAGCAGAGATAATTAAAATTAAATATTTAATTATAATAAAATTTACAATCATTTCTGCAAATTAACAGAAAAATTTCTCTATAGGATAAAAAATAACATAACATATATTGATCACAGGCAACATACATTACTCTGAAGATGACTTATAAATGCCCTCCATAATACTTCTTCCTGTTTTGGAGTCATTTGAATTTTTCTCTTGATATCTTTTGATTTATCTTTCTTTTTATCGGACGCATTTTTTGCTTTGTACCATCTAAATTACCATAGTGAACAATTCAAATGTACTGTATTACACAACAATTCAAATGTATTATACTGTTTTTTTCAAAAAAAGAAAACAGAGAAACATGACTTACCCGTCCAATAAGAACAGACTATTGCTATCAAGAACTAAAAATTTGTCGTCTCTAGTTTTGCCATCAGTACCAGTATACAAGTAATGTAGAAGAGGTATTGGTCTTTTCAAAGTGCTAATTACATACATTTTCCGCTTCTTGATGCGACCTACCCAATCCGCAAATATTATAGGATTTGGTACAGTGGCAGATAACATTACTATACTGATATTCTGTGGTAGAAGAATGACTATTTCCTCCCATACATGACCCCTCTAAAAATACACAAGCTTGAGACACAAAATATACAAAATCATGTTTTTCTAGAATCTTGATTACTAACATCTTCATTATTTATGTAATGTACTTCATCAAAAATAACAAATTCTAAATCTCGTAAAACATCAGCTGCGCAATACAACATTGATTGCAAGATTTCCGTTGTCATAATTAGACATGAAGCATTTTGATTTATTTGCAAATCGCCTGTCAACAATCCGACACTTTCAAATTTCCTTTTAAATTCACGATATTTCTGATTCGACAGTGCTTTTATTGGAGATGTATAAATTACTCTGCAACAGAAATAATAATAATCAGAAAATTGACGTCTATGTGTCTACTTTATTATAAGTTTAATTAAAATAATTTAAGTAAAATAATCGATTAAATTAGTATAAAAAATTCACATAAAATATTAAGTTTATATTAACTTTGCAGCTTTACCTTGTCATATGCTTTTGACTCAATGCAATGGCATATTCAGCAACAGTGGTCTTTCCAGCTGATGTATGGGCAGCAACAAAAACATTACAATTTTCCTCTAATTTAAGAATAGCTTGTTTTTGAAAAGTATCTAATTCATATTCGAACTTAATTGCTGGGTCAGGTACTCTTCTATCAAAGTCAGTCACTGGTACAGATACATCCAACTGCTCTGCCCATTCTGTCTTGGCAAGTTCTGGTTGTTTTTCAGATATTTTCAATATAGGTATATTTACCTCTTCGTATAAAATAGGAATATCATCTATAGGAAAAATATTGTTGTCTATAGCTTGAATGTTCTCTTTTTTTGGTTCTTCAACTGATGAGCATAAACCAAGCAAATTTCCTTCTTCATGTATAACAGCCATTAAATTAATATTATCATTATTGATTTTTAATTCTTCAGCTCTTTTAGATACTATAATTTCTCTTTCATTCTTTGTGTAATTAGTGGGGGTGCAATTGTCACTTTCAAATTCTATACCCGAACTAAATCCTTTCGCCAATGTTCTTAAATCATTTTCAAAATCAATATTATCCCCAAGTTCATTTTCAATCTCTTTTGGTTCATCAAAACCACCTGGCCAAAATAGGACATTACTAGGATTGCCTGTAAAACATAATTTAATAATTATTCTGAATAATGCATTTTATGTGTTACATAATATTTAATTTTGTCTTGAATGTTATTTTTGAATTTCAATCAAGACAAATAAATAAAAAATCAAAACACCTCGAACTCCATCCGCAAATGGTGCTGGTGCACGAGTCATAGACATGGAATTTCTTACAGTTTCCCCTGCACCTTGCAAGATAATCTCTTGCATCTCACCAATCTTGCCTGTTACTGGATCACGGTCAAATTTCAATGTAGTGCCAATTGGAGCCAAATCAAACTGTAATAGTGAAGAAATATCTGCTTTGCGAGACCAGTAACACTGGGCATCGTCCAGCTGATGTATGGGTAATTGTTCCGGGCATTCAATATATTCTCGCAATTCTAATTTGATATCAGGCCAAATAGATGGAGGCTCAATGAGTAACTATAAAAAAAACATGCTCAAATACACAAAAAAATATTACATTTGTATGTTTCATATTAAATAGCAATTACCTCTGTTGAATCATTCATTGTTACATCGATTTTGCAAAACTTTTCTACTTATAATATATTAATAAATAATATAATTATAAGTGATATAATATTTATTTATTCTTTAAGAAAAATGTAAACTATTGCAATGTAAACACAACTGCAAAAAAGAAATAAATATAAGAGATAAATAGCAAATGTACAATTAATCATTAAATAATTATTTATTTTAAATCATTCAATTGTTAGATTATACGAGTAAAAGTGATTATTTTAAACGTTTAAGCTAATGTTTTATATAATTTATCAAATACAATCGTATAATCCAAATTAACCTCTATAATATACAAGTACCATAGACGTAGTAAACACGGAACTGCTAAATTCGTTTACTGCGGTCTCCGCGCACACAAGCGAGAATCATGTACATGTGATGCGCAGAGCGTTTTGCGCATTCATGTATACGATTCTCGCTTGGTGGCGCGGAGGCCGCGATGAACGAATCTAGTTGCTCTGAGTAAACATAGACTGTTCACGAGTCGTGAGTCAAGACGTTCGAAAAGTGTCGAGAATTTAGGAGGGAAAGAAAGCTTTGAACTGAAATTTTAATTATAAACATGTTAACTGTTTATATTTGTTTCAGATTTTAGACATAATTTATGTAAGTTAAATAACGCATAAGAACCTGAGAAAAAATATGCGAAAAAGAAAAAAAGACAAGTATAAATTTATCAATTATATTGATTATATCTTTAAAGAATATATCTTTAAAGAATTTAATGTCTCTTTTTCTTTTTTGTGTGTTTTTGATCAGCTTTATTATTATTCTTGTATATACATATTAATAGAAATACGACTTTTAGCTTCTATTAACTCCTGTTAATTTTTTGAAATTTTGGTTGTAATAAAGCGTAAAAAAGGAGACAAAAATAGTACGTCTGCTTTTTTCTAATGGCGTCCGTTAGCTAACGGAAATACGAAGTTCATATGTATGTACGTGACATGCATATGGCGGAGGTTAGATAAGTTTATTAATATTAAAAAAATATATATAAATATATTTTAATAATTTTAATATTAATTTAAATATATTTTAAAATATTTTTTAGTAAAATGGTTCGCAAAAAGATAGACAATCGATTAGAGTTTAAGCAATAGCAAATGGTGGCGCCATCTTGGGACACAGAACAATGTCGTTGGCGGCGAAAAAGCGAGAGATCAAGTAAGTATTCGACTGAAAATGTTTATATGTAACTATTGTACATAAAATAAATACGAAAATGAATTAGCAGAATAATTTTTAGATATTTATTTACGCTCTTATAATTGTAGTTATTGCAATTAAAAACATTCTGCCTTGACAAAAATATGTCCGTTCTTCCCGGGGAGACTGGTCGAAGAAACGTCTAATGGACGACTATTGGACGTCCATTAGAGATTTTGCATGGAAGCTCATAAAGTATGAATATACTATTTTGTAAATAGATTTGTTACATTGTGCGATAACATATTGTGCCATAACACTAATTTATGCATTTTATTGATTTAGGACATAATATGCCGATTTAACGAGAGATTCTTGTTATCTCTGACTAACTGTACTCAATGTTTGATTGTCGATGATCAACTGAATATATTATTTATATCTTCTCACACTCTAAGAATAGAACCTATACATAAATCAGATGTTCTAGAAGAATAATCGACTGTAGATGTTTTAAAGGAGAGTCTGTAAGATACTTAACCTCTATCTGCATTAATTAATTGTTGCAAGACAGTCGACCAGGTAATTTAGTGGACGATTAAATTACTGAGAATTGTTTAATATAAGATTACAATTAAAATTGTAATATATTTTCAGACAAAGGCCTCAAATTAAAGGTTCTCAAATTTATTAAGTGTATTTCCGAAAAAACTTTGAGATTCAGTGTGTCACTGACCGCAGATAGAGGATATGATAAATCGGCTGCAGTGAGACTTGCCATTAGCGGAGCTGTTACTTTCAGATACTCCAATATATACATCTCAAATCTTAGTTCGGAGAACTTGACACTCTCTTTGAATTTGTCTTCAAAGGTAAGTGAAATAGTTCATTGTGTGATTTACTTTGCCTAAACGCTATGATACACGCATCTATTCTGTTTGAATGTTCTCCTCCCGATATTTGTCAATATAACTATTTATTATCTGTTTATTATATAAACAGATATTTTTGAGTAACAATTGAACACATCTTTCAAGCCTATAATTTATCAAGTTTATACATGTTTTGATTTTTCACAGGGATCCTTGTTCTTCTACCACAAAGCTTCTGAATTGTTCTTACAGAGGCTGGTTTCTTTGTATGTTGCATCACATTATAAAGTAAATATTGCATTCTCTTTCTTAATATGAAAATATATGTGGTGCAATCCAAAATTTATGCATGAAAACCACAAGCAAAAGTCACAGGAAAAATGTATGCGTTATTTTTGGATTGCATTTCGTATATATCATATTTTTATAAAATATTTTAATAATATTAATAATTTATTGATTATATATTTTAGAATATTTCTAACAATTTGCAAATGATGTCTAATGCTCCTGCGCAGCATCTATTCTGTCTATTGGAGTCCGTAGATTCCAGTAAGAAGACTTCACCTGAAATATCAAGTAAGTGCAATAATAAAATAAAAATGAGAGGATTTTACATGAGTATCATGACAAGTTGTTAGAAAAATTGCTCGCGCATGCTATACAACACGAAAAAAATATAATTTGCCAATGTATGAAACAAAATTAAATTTTTTTTATTTTATGTGAAAATTGTTAGTTTTCACAAATAATTTTTGTGGTGGATAACATGTCTACTAATGATATATTAGGTAGAAACTTTACTTACTGAATTTTATATCAATGCAGTATTGATTATCTTGTGAGGGTACTATTATCTACTAAGGATACTATTAAAACAAGATATTTATCTTGTTTAAGAAAATTAAGCTCGTAGAATAATCAATAGATGGCGAAGTCATTTTCGCTTATCAGGCATCGTTTCTAATGTTTAATTAACATCGCATAATTGGCCAGCCAATTAGTGCGCGCCGTTTAATATTAATCTACAATTTGAATTCATCTCAATGTGTTTAAAATTTATTGAATACATAATTAATGCAGCGTGCTGCGGATGCAGATGTGACGCACACAGATTGCTCATTTATCGTGACAGATTTTTAAATTTGAAAAGACAAACACACTAATCCCGATATATTGTACATAATTTCTAGAATTATTTATTAAATTAAAATTATTATTTGCATCAAAAAGCAAATAATATTTAAGTTATTAGTAAACAAAAATTATTTAAATTAGAAAACGTGAATTATATATAAACAAAATTGCGAGAATTTTCAAATGCATTTCCATTTTTAATAGAAATAAATTAAGCTGTGATAGAAAAATTAATTTTTGGTAAATTGATTGATTGGCTGGAAAGCGAAACAGCTGCTTATATTTCAGATAACACAAAACGTCCTCGGGACATCCCTCAGGAAGTTTTGATATTCCTCAGGACATCGGGATATATTTAGGATGAACTCAGGATGCTATCTGGGATCTTTGTAGCTATTAAGTTTATCTTCGCTTTACTTCAAAATATTTTGGTAATTTCTTCCTGCAGTACATGCTTAAAATAAGTTACATTTTCCTCACTCCAGGCGTTTTATTTTAATCTGATTATCAATGTCATGCGAAAATTTTGCTAAAACTTTTCTATTATATAAACATTTTCAATATTTTAATAAATAAATAAATAAATTTCATAAAAACAGATAAAGTACAATAATGAAACAATAATTATTATTTTTTTATATTGTTTCACAATTTATTGAAGTGATATTAGAAAGTATTAAGTGCTGATAGTGCATTGAAAAAATTCGTGAATATGCTTCAATCAATTTATCGAAAAAGGAAGATTCTCCGGAAAAAAGGAAATTAATTTTTCCATCATAGCTTAATTTATTTCTATTAAAAATATAAGTGCATTTGAAAATTCTCGCAATTTTGTTTGTAATTAACGTTTTCTAATTTAAATAGTTTTTGTTTACAAAAAAATTTTTCCTGAATCGTTAGCTTTTGGTAAAGCTTTTGCGTTTTCGATAAAGTGCCAATCGGAATATTTGAGACTTCGTGTAAAAATTACATAGGGGTGAAAGCCGGAGGTGAATAACCTCCGAGGATAAAACGCGGAATATGGACTTCGAAAAAATCGGAATCCGTTCCGCAAATGGAGACATTTCACGCCATTCTGTCGACCATTCTCGAGAGAGGGTGTGGACCTTATTTTTTCTTCACCTTCGTCCTGATCTGATCCGTAACATCGTCCCTGTCTGGCTTTGGAAGTTTATCACATCTGTAAAAACTCGTAAGCCCATCATTTCGCTTCTTCCGAGAAAAGTTAGACGTTCTTTTTTTCTGGAAAAAGTGTTGGGCTTTTCTCGAAATCAAAGAGATGTTAAATGCAATTGCATTAATTCGCATTTTGTTTTAATGCATTAATTTTGCTCCCGATATGAAGCAGCATAAGAGTGAAAAAATTGCAAGAAGAATAAATTCTGCGATAGCTAAAAAGAGGGAAAACTAAAAAGTGAGAGAGAAAATAGCGATCAGACAGCCCGCGGCAGCCAGAACTCACTGCCAAATGAAATTATCCCTTGGAAGCACCAGCGATTTCGAGAGTTAATTTCGCAACAGGGTTGTCTCGCCTCTTATCATTTCGTCTGTTGCATCGGTATCACTATAGCTTCCAGCGGATCATAATTTAATACATAATACGCTTCTTTCACTTCCTGATAAGAGTATATTTCATATTAATTTAAAAGTATTTTATATACTCATATATATAAAATATACAAGTCGTCAGAATAAATAAATACATGTCACTAGAAAGAATATAAAAACTTATATAAAAAATTTTAAATACACCAAAATTTTGTAGATAAATCTTTCTTCTACAATGTTAACTATTATTAGCAATATGACTCGTTAAACATCGCAAAAGCTAACGTTACATCAAAAATATATAGAATGTCGCAAATTTTGTAACCTTTTATCTAAAGATTTTTTGATCAGTCATTAAATACAATGATAAATAAATCCCATGTTTGCAAAGATGATGACAATTGTCTTAATATTAAAAATAATGATATTGAGATTGTTGAATGAAATATATTGCAGATTATTATTACTTGACAATTGAATATTGAAAATATTTAATTTACTGCTAAATAATATTAATTTAGCATTAAAAAATAGTTTTATTCTTTCTTATTTTTTTTTTATTAGCTTTGACTTTAACTTTTCGGACATTTAAATAGACATCTATTTCCTCTTTCTGGCAAATATGTTGCAAATATCTCTGAATTGCCGCTGTGCAATTGGCACTTTAATCTGTATTCAATGACCGACGCGGAGTACGGAACGAACTTTTTACGGGGGATTTGGCGCGTTGCGGAATGATCGCTCGTATCGGTCGTTTGTGGTGCGAAAACACGCGTTCCGGTTTGTGCGCGTGGAACAAGTTTGAAAGGCCGGTGTTCGCCACAGTTGCTATGGCGACGGGGCCGTCTAAATCCGCGAAGCACCCTTTGCTTGTAAGGGTGGAGTGGGGACCAGAATACAGGGAAGCTGAAAAAGGCTGCTAGAGGGGTGACAATGTGGGTGCTAAGTCTGGAGATTTGCAGGGAGCACGCCGGTTGGTCGGTTCATTGTTTCAACAGCGGTTTCCGTTGAAAAACGTATCACCTAGCTTTCCCGTCATGGAAAAACTCTACCGTCGCAAAACTTATATGGAGACGAACAACGAACTAGTGTCGACGGCGAATATAACTACTTGCCCCCAAAAATATTCTTCAATTATTTGCATTTTATAAAAGAAGTATACTTTTGCAATATTGTGTAAAACACTAAACAGAGGAGAACGTTAAAACCGATTAGGATTTATTTTTATTTAATTAAAGATTAATTATATCTTTTAAAATGTATAATTATGATCTTAAATAACTATAATAATTGTATTTTGAGAAAAATATATATTTTTAGCACATAAATACATGGAGTATATAAAATATTATTAAATTATATAAAATGCAAGGGTATTTAAAAAAATAACAACTATGTTTATTTCAAAAAACCGATTTTATCGTTTCACAGTTTAGCAGATTTTTATTTTTGACATGAAATATAAGAATTAGTTTGATTAAAGATTTGAGAAACTGTGAAAGAAAGCTGATCGAGAAAGACACGCGACCAGGGTTGTAAATACTTGGACTAATTACTCGGTAATGAGTTTAATTATCGTCTCGCGCGTAACAGCCGCAACAAAATTTGCCGCGATATTTTTTCGTCGCTACGAGTGTTTCTTTCAAGAGCCGTCCCTTCAGGTCGGCTAAGACGAGCCGGTAAAAGAAAGAATGAGAAGACAAGAAGTAGAAGAAGAAGGTAGCAGAGGAGAAGTAGGAATGAGATGAAGAAGAGAGGACGAAAGAGCGCGGCAGCTGTTGGCCAAATTAAGTGATCATCTCGTCATCATCAGTGAAGCCGCCGCGAGAAGGGAACGAGCCGGCGTTGCTGCCACGTTGCTGCCACGTTGCTGTCGAAGCAATAGGCTTCGCGAGCCCCGTGAAATTAGCATCGGCAAGGCCTGAGGAGGAAGAGGGTTCGCGAGCGTGTCCGCGTCGCTGATTGGAGAACCGCCGCGTCGAGTGGACCATAATAGTGGGAGGGAAGAAGATAGGCCTGCAGATCTGAAGACATAGGTGGATACAGTAAGAGGGGAGGAGAGACCGGACTCTTGAACGGATTTAATAAGCGCAAACGATAATCGCCGTATTTACGAGCAAAGCCAGAAGTCCGCGGCTCAAAATTAAATTATTGTCACAATAAAGATCGCCGAGCAGAACTATATGACGTTTGGATCGTATTTAATCTGACATTAGAAAGTTGTGTTATTTAAATATATTTTGGGCACTCAAATATTTCTGGGTGAATTCTCAGAATATTAAAATACGCTAATCACTTTTATGTGTTTTTTAATTAATTATATTTTATAATTTTTTTAAACAAAAAACTCTAGAAGTTTATTGTTTATTCAAGAACTTTATCAAGTCAATGTTAACATAATAACCAATGAGATAATTTTGTGATTACAATAGAAATGTAATTACTCTTGTAAAGCATTCCTTAAGTACCAAAACTCAGATTAACATATAAAAGGAAATGCAATTATCTATTATAAGCATGTACCACGCAAAATATTAACTCAAAGATGCTAAAAAAGCGACTGGTTATTCGAGCGCGGATGCAGCTTTATTAGAAGCTTTTTTTCAAAGTGAGTCCTCAAAGCGGGACTGAATTTCCGGTGGGCTAACACACAGATTCCACGAGTATCGTCTGCTCTTAATCCGGGAACGATAATTTATGAATATAAGAAGCAGCCTAACCGTCGTCTAAATAAGATATGGATCGCATATCTATCCGTTATTAAATCATTACATGAGCATAAGATTTACGAAGTCTTTTGTCACCGGGGATTACCAGGTCCCGATGACTTTTTCACGCTTGGTTATATCTAGTGGATGACCGAAATTAGACCGACCGGGAGTTGAAGACCTTTG